AAGCGCTCAGCATGCAATTACAGGAAAAGTTACAAGCGTATATGTAGTGAAATGGGGCCTTTATACGGTAGATAGAATTTGACGTTACTGGCAACCGGCATGTAGAACGGTAGCAAATAAAACTTAGAAAACAGCCAAGGAAACGATTCGCTTGTTAAATTGAGGGGAAATGCCATGCTGTTCATATCTGTTTAATTCGAAAGGAAAGCACTTACTCAAGGAAAATGTGAAAAGAAAGCAGGTAAAATGTCTAGAACAGTTAGCGGAATATACGGCGCGCATATTGAGTTCCACCAATGAGGCACCACCGGCGATGATGTTGAAGAGAACTAGAAAAATAACGTTCACCGAAAAGGTCGTCCGCAGTTCAGCAAGAATCAAGAACATTAAAATTATAGCGGCATTGGAAATCATACTCAGCCCATTCAGCATATTGGAGAGTAGTACAATTAAGCCACTGGAATTGCGGCATGGAGTGATACATAGTAATGTTACCGGTTTGATATTCGGAAAGGATGGAGAGAAACCCTGTGACGTTCTCCATTTCAAAATTCACCAGACAAGGAGTCCTTTTGATATGAAACAATTAAAAAGGCAACTGCCAGTGTACCAATAGCGTGCGCTCGCCGAAAGTAGAAAGAATTTAAAATGTCTCAAATTTTTAAGCCATTATTGTTTAGATTCTATGCCGCGACTACCAGGAATTTGTTCTAGAGAGCTGCTCTGTAATCAGTTTAAATCTGGAATGCATTCACGCTTGCAGCTTTGATTGGCATGCAGATTCTCATTCTGTAGACTGCAGCCTATGTCTACTCCATGCAAACAGCTTGCTGAATAAACATGTTTAAATTTGCTGTTTTTCTTTCTTGGTGCATAACGTGAATCCTGCAATCCGATAGTCCAGACTCCGCATAGGGCGTTTTTTACTTGTACGCTACTAACGTTACGCAGAACCTCAAGCATGTGGCACTTGCTAAAATAGCTCATCTATCTAGATGTAAACGCAACTCGTAAGCATACAAGACGTAAGTAGTAGCGCAATGCCCGAGAACATCTGCAGCTAACTTACATCCTCTCGCATAACATACTCACGTAAAAATAAACCTAATATTCTGCTGTTCTTCATGGTCTGACTTTTTATTTGTTGAAAGGTCTACCGGCGCTTTTCATTACTTTTGTACGCGGTTCCAATTGGTTTTTGGGGTTTTAGGGTTTATTGCGCTAATGAACATCAGTACGCACAAATGTTTTCAAGGAAAATATTCGCCGAATTGCCGATAGTTAGCGCCACAAAGACGTGGACCACGTGGTACCGTAATTCAATTTAAGAGATATTGGTTAAAAATAACTATTAATTATTGGTTTCACGAATTATGAATTTGCTTTTGCACTGACGTATTGAATTGCTGAATCACTAAAATCCAAGCAGAACGTTGCGCTGGAACATGATATGCATAAACTGGGCGATGGTAATTGTGAATAATATTAGATTCAATACCAAAATATTTGCATAACCAAGCACTGGCAGCGAGCACATAGAGCAGTTATGATTGATTTAAGAATTAAACAAACCAGAAAAAAACGATTTTCTGAGCGTTGGCGAATTATCTTGGGCAGAATCCGCCCCGTGGCGAGCTGCGAGCCTATTTCCGCAATTCTACAGCCTAGCAGTGTGTCCGACCTCGTACAGTCTGGCAATTTCCTTCTCAGCTTTGCATCGATCGCACTGTTCTTTGTCAACAACGGTGACATTGGTACAGTTAGCCAGCTTCTCCATCGCTTTCTTCAAGAAGAATTTCGGCCGCGCGGGCAGCCCGTCCCGGTAGCACGTCAATTCGCCGACCTACAATTTGCTGACCGACCGTTTGCTGACCGACATGTTGCTGACTTACACAACTCGCTGACCGACAACTTGTTGACCGACAATTTGCGTTTCGGCTAAGTTGATGACCGACGTTTTGTTGAAACATTTTTGCTGACCGACAACTTGCTGTCAAGTTCGGGACGTTAGTTTTTGAGTTTTCTTAACTTTTTGCTGTTTATTCTTAGATTTCTTAGTTTTCTTAGGGTTCTTAGGTTTCTTAGGTTTCTTAGGTTTCTTGAGTTTCTCAATTCAGCAATTTGTCGGCAGCAAGTTGTCGGTGTTTACAAAAAGTCGTTCAGCGAAATGTCGTTCAGCGATTTGTCGTTTCAACCAACTGTCGGGTCAACATTTCGTCGGTCAGCAGAAAGTCGCCAGCAAGTTGTCGGTCAGCAGGATAGTCGTCAGCGAGTTGTCGGTGTGCCGCCTGTCCCAGACGATGCGGAGTGGCCCATACCAGTCGCCAATATGGCGCCAATCTTCCTCGCTCCACCATAAACCGAACGGCACATTCTGTTCCCGACGCGTTCCACAGGTGACCTTTTGGACGCAGGAAATCTTATCGATGACCACCATGAGCGGCGCCTCGAAACATGGGTGGATGACCATGCTTGGTTTGCCGTTGTCGCAATACGGTTTAGCTGTCAACAAAAAGGAGAATTTAAAGAAACGTTCCGCTCCGCCGGACCAACAAACTAGTAAAAAGGTAAAAAATAGCCCGGTAATTACAGGTTCTTTTTTACGCTTAATTTAAACATATAAAAGTAAATTACTCGGCTGCGCTTCATTTACGTAATAAATTGTGGAAACTGTTGTTACAAACAGCACAAAGGTTTCTTGAACGGATATACGTTAATACTTGAGATGTGAGGAGTAGGAAGGCTGCTATAAGCGGGGTCGGCCATCATTTCGTAAACCTGTTCAGATTCTTCTAAGCTGTCAATCTTCTCCAACTTGGTCATTTCATTATAAAGCGGGGTACAAGTATTCCAGAAGCGACTCATGGTGAATAGCCGGTACTGGCACAGAGATTCACTGTACATGCTGTAGCAGGCTACGCAACGATTATCCGGCACGCAACGCGGCTCAGGCGGCGGGTGTAAGCTTCTCGTGTACGTCCGTTCGCACTGAATTAAAAGAAAGACCGCAGTTCATGTCTCTATGAAGTTATCTTTAAAATAATGAAATAAATTACAAATCACAAACAAATAAATATTACCAATAAAATTTCCTGTAACATTTCATGAAACTCGACTGCTTTGGTTAAACATACGATCTTCTAATTACTATTTCGGAGCCCTTTCCCATAAATCACTGAAGTGTGTCTTAAAACAACGGCGGGCCAAAGAAAACAGATTAGGTACCCTAACGAGAACTAGGTACTGTACTTACTCAGTGAAATTAAAAAAAAAACGACGAAAGCCATTTACATATTATTGAGTGCTCTCTCAGGGTGGCTTCGCCAAATGCGCAATTCCTCTTATACTTCAACCACGGTACATAACTGGACCACCGTGTAATGAAACTGGTACGTGGCATTAATCGGACCCTCGACTTTAGTGATATTTGCCTCGCTGCAATATCCCGCTGGACACCTCCGTGGATAGACGAAGCACGCTGCCACTTGCACCTGTTGATACATCTCACTCGGAGTGACGGAGGATCCTACACACTGTATAAAAGGGAATGTGGTACAGTTATGTAAGTAAATCAACCGAGAATTTTATGGTCATTTGATATTCACTTACTTCAAACGCGTATTGGAACACCGTGTCATGATTACCATTGATTTCATCCGCAACCGTTTGCCCATTAAGTAACAGTAGGCTGCTGAGAGCGGTAATGATGGCAGCCACACCAGCTGGAAGTTCTGACATGTTTAATAACACTTGCTGTAAAAGATGAAAACAAATCACCGTAATGCGACGTGGCAAGTAAGATAACGGCTTCGTTTTGTGCTGGGCCTTAAATATGTATGGGACAAGGATCACCGTGTCAACTATAATACCGATTCAGCAACGAAATCACAATCAGTATTCCAGTTATTCGACAAGGCGATCACGTAGCACTCACCTGGAACAAGGGGCGCGTTTCAAGTGGCTGAAAATATTTTTATGAATCTCGCTCACATTTTTCCAGACTTGAAGGTGGTTTCGCGGAGGTAGCACTTGAAACAGGCACAAGTTGGCACCAGGCATGAATACAGTTGAAAGTGCCTAATCATGCCCACTTTACATTGCCTGAACGTGCTGAATTCCCGCAATGCCAGGTAGTGTCGGGTCACAGTTTCTTCATAACAGATTTTTTCCGCTCCGTACTTGGCTTTTCTCAATAACCGATTGTTTCTACAAAGTGAGGTCCACTACGAACACAAGTTATGAACAACCGATCACCCACGTACTCGGATACTTTCCCAGCACGAAAACTTCAAAACTAATAGTTTCAAACACTTTTATCCAACGACCGCATATATGTAAAATAAGTGATCTAATCATAAATAATAATCTAGCAAGGAAAATAAAATCTTTTACTAAAATGATGGCTGCAGAGCATTCGTTGTTGGAGCTGGCAACCAGTAACTCATCGTATAAAAAGATTGTGAAACTTGCAGCTGATGTTTTAGACTCAAATGTATATCCGTGAAATGTGTTTGTTTAACCCAGCAACTGATCCTTGTTGAATAGAGTTGCAATCGAAGTACATGTACTGTAGTTCGGTTCCAAGTTTACTGGTACAAGTTTAGATTAGGTTTTCTTCCATTTCAGGGTTTTTATTTTATAATTTTTTATTTAACAATTTTTTTTAATGTTGCTAAATTGAAGTGTAAACTGGATTTTATCAACCAAAGCATATTGCTGCCTTCTGTTTAAACGCAGCAGTGTAATGTGCTAACAACAAACAGAATTTTCCAAGATAATTAATACGGAAGATACTGAGCGGTGTAATACTTTTCAGCCAGACAGAGTTGCGTTAATTTTTTTGCCAACGAAAGGATGCGCACCATGTGAATTTCTCATACAGTGTTAGTAATTCCACAGCTTGACAGCACCATAAATTTTTCTACACAAAAAGCTGTATTCTAACAGTGCGGTTAGTTCTCACAGTATAAAGGTAATTCTCTATAGGTGACCGCGTGTAAACAAAAAGCGTGCTGCATAGAGCCATGATAACTGTTTTAGCGTATAAAAAGCAATTTTCAAGGAACTGGCAGATTCAGTTACATTGCGAGCTGCTGTTGAATCTTTCACCACGCTAACACCACCGTGTATCCGTCACGGTACAGTCTGGCTACTTCCTTTTCGGCTTTACACCGTCCGCACTGATCATTGTCAAAACCGGTGACACTGGTGCAGTTTGTCAGCTTATTGATCGCTTTGTTCAAGACATACTTCGGATGTGCAGGCAGGACGCTCCAGGCGTCGTAGTATTCCCCAGACCAGGAACCGACATTAACCCGAACTGGAGGGGCCCTTAAATTTACCTTAAACGGCTCATTCTCTTCCGGACGGGTTCCACAGGTGACCTTTTGGAGGCAATCCTTCTTGTCGACAACCACCATGAGTGGCGGCACGAAGCAGGGATGGATGACCATGCTCGGTTTACCGTCGTCACAGTATGGCTTACCTGTCAAGGGACATGGAAAATTAAAATAAATTGACTAAAATTGATAGTGGAGCCGACATCTATGCGTATTTTCAGTCTTTTTACTACCGATGACCGATTATCAAAGCGTTCCTTTTTTTATGAACGCATAACCACTTGATATGCTCATTGCTCACTATACGGCGCGAACGGAATACTGCCTTAAATTGCGTAATTATGTTTTTGTGGACTGGAAATGCAGTATTACCTGAGATGTGCGGTTTAGGATTGTGGTCGTAATCGGGTTGCGGGATGTAATCAGGGGGCAGTGTCGTAACTGGAATCGGGATCGTCGTCAGATCTTCACCGAATTCTGGATCAGCATCATCTACGGTCTCGATCGTCTCCATCCTGGTAATTTCATCACGAAGCGTGGTACAATTCGCCCATAAGCGACTCAAAGAGAACGAATCGTACTGGCACATCGCTTCACTGTATGGGGCCATGCAGCCAACGCAATCCCTATCAGGTACGCAGCTCAGACTGCTCGGTCCGCTGACTGTATACCTCGTGCTACACTGAAATAAACAGAGCTGCATTCGAGCATTCGAGCAAAGGTATTGTGGTTTCAGCAGTATATAATCCGCTCGTAAGAAATTTCTGTAAAAGTCGCTTAACCACAACTGAACGTACCTTGTAGTGAAAGTGGTGCTTAACGCTCAATGGATCGCCAGTGTTGATTCGGGCGATGTCCGCGTCGGTGCAGTGTGCATCATTTCGGTTCTTAATCCTATTAAACGCTGCTTCTGCCGGAGTGGAAGAACCCATACACTGAAAGAGATGATGCGGTTAAAGCAAATTATTTATACAAAAAAATGCGAAACTAATCCGCTAGAGACTAGAAACGGTTGGTCATGGTCACTAATTCAAAACAACACAATAATCATCTAATGAAATATTGGTGCAGTTAACTCTAGTGTAAGCAGCCGTATTAATGTTAATGTAAACAAAATGCAGTACTTCGAAGTAAAGCGAATATAGACCCAGGCTTTCGATAGCCACTTACTTCAAAGGCGTATTCAAACGGCGGATTAGGGTCACCAGGTTTGAGAAAGCCCTCTGCCCGGTTATGCAACAAAAGACCGCTTAGCGCGATAGCGACGGTAACTACACCAGTTGGAAATACTGACATTCTTGGATTAAAAATTAGCTTAACCATTAACGACGCTGTGACTTCCCCAACGTAACAAGCTTATTCTAATTGCTGTCAAACTAACTATTATGTTTATACAGATGGTCTCGTTCGTTTTGGTTTGAATATAATGATACCAGACTCAACTTGTCAGACAAAATACCGACTCAGCTCTCATCACAACAATCACCGCCGGAATTCGTGTTGTATTAGAAGTAGACGTGGACTGCATACCTGGAGCAAGGGGTGCGATTTCAGTAATTCTTGAAATATTTGCATAGATCTGCGTCAATTTTCTAGCATTTTGGTAGGTTTCGTGTAATGTGGCACTTGAAATGTGCACACGTTGACATCTGACATGACTACAGGTATCATGCCCACTTCAATTTGCTTTGATCTGGTAAATTCCCGCAATACCAGACGTTTTGAGCCGCAGGCGTTCATAGAAGCAAATCTTTGTTTTATTTTTAATGGTTCGCAGTTCAAATATCTGTTATTAAAATCAAAAAGTTAGTGCATGATTGTACTCGAAGTTATGCAGACATAATTCCGTGTTTTAGACGGATTACCAATAATTTTTCCGCGTGTGGACTGCGAAGCACTTTGATGTGGACAGAAACCATAAACTTTTAAATATCCAGGATAATATTAGCAATTCAAACTGAAAGATATATGAGAATCGTAACTTACATATCTGTGTTTACAGTTTATAACATCCTTGTGTTTTAATCAGAATGCTAGACCAATAGTTCAGTTGACCAGAGTATTAAAGCAAACATGCAGATAAGTTATATTGCACGAGTAGGACCAGATTGCTTCGGCCTTCTCCCTGGAAACTAGACTTCACGCAGAATGCGTCGCGCTCACTGTACATATGTATACAAAGTAGTGATAGTACGTTTTTATATGGAACAGAATCATTTACAATGCAAGCGATAACTATTTATGTTACAGAAACCAAGTATTGTTCCAAACATTTTCTGCTCTACATCAAAATTTTGAATCTTTGTAATCTACCTAAGCGGAGATGTAGTATTCGTGCAGGATACCGAGAATTTGGTCGGCCCCCCGGTAACGTACAAACGCATTATCTGGTTTGCTATAAAATGAAGAAAACGGAGCGCCCTCTATGCAATGAAAAGACCCTCGCGGTTGCCCAAGCAAGCGTTCTTCTGCCCTTCGGCGCAAAACACAGTACCGGTGATTTATGTGCATTGAATGCGTTGCTGTAAGCACACTTTTTAAATATTACAATTTTGAATCAAGGGTAATCTTGACAATTTTATGAATATAAGCTATGTGTACATTGTGGGTGCTCCGGCAACATCCCCTGGTGTTAGTAAGTCCGAAGTAGGCACAGTAATTATGTTATTCCAATGCCTACTGGCTTTTGGATACGTGGCACTTAAAATGCTCAAAGTGCTGCATAGGGCGTTCTTTCAAGTGTTTTTCGGCCAAAAGCGCAAAAAAAGCTGTAAACACGCACAGAATTTCGGCCTTTATTAGTATCAGCCACTCTAGAAACTGCTTTACTCCAGATTTCGCGTTATGTCCGTAGCTTATTACATAATCATATTACAGGAATACTGATTGTAATTTTTAAGTGCCGGTTGCTGAATCGCTACAGCTGTCGGAATAAGATGACAACCGTGCTTTTCCATATTGAACCAAAAACTGGAGCAGTGCATATCAAGCGCATTCACGCCCAAGCGTTTTCAAGATTTTTTTCTTCACTGTTTTTCGAGTTGTATTTGAGTAGACAACGTTAGTACAACGTTAGCGCACCAGAAAGCGCAGAATGGCCGCTTTTAGAACTGGTGTTGTGGTATTGGTTATAGCGCAAAGCGGCTCGCTTTGGCGTAACTGGGCTGATTCGGATTTGCCGTTAGAATATGCTTTTGAGGTATATGTCTATTAAAAAATGACTGTCCATAATAATATTTTCCACCCTGATAGGCGTGTTTCGTACAGTGCGTTAGCTATCCTACTCCGCCGCACGACATGTTCAAGAATATTGCAGATCTTCCTGATGCACGGTGTACTATGCCGGTTATCACACCGATTAGTACTTCATCTGGAGGTCAGAAAACGTCAAGCACTAGTTTCTTTATACTGTAGGTCCATGATCCATCTAGAATTATCGATGGTTGCACGTCGCTTTCGGATGAAATCTCCAGAGACAAAAGCGATGGTCCAAACAAAGGCAGCGATGTAGCTAGCTTTGCCGCCGCTAGTACAGGTGCCGCTCGGGCCGTCCATTCTCGTTCTCGACGGAGCAGCGGATCGGGAAATCCATGCAACAACTGCAGAGACAACGTGGTGAAACGCTCACCGGAAATAGGCTCCAGCCAGGGTCCCAAGGGTCGCGAAAATAAGTACTTTACGCCTTTGCTGACCCCCGCCCGGCAAATCCCAGCCGCCCCCAGCATCTCTGTGCGCAGAACTCGCACGGCGCTCGCGCCTACCCGTACCCCCGGTCCGCTTGGTGCAAACGAGCGCTTCGTCTCCAACCGTATGGCCGGTCGCGCCGACCCCAGCCCCAGCGATGCCATCCATCAGGGTACCAGTGTCTCCTTCTCATTAACTGTCCCACGAAAAGGCTTGCGACCGATCAACCTCGGTCACGCCATTGCACCGGCCCCCGCAGCGGCAGTTTCGAAAAAGATCAGCGAAAGCCGCAGTGTTAGCCCGGACCCACCTGAGTCGGCTGGTATTGTAGAAGCCTGTCAGATGTTTTTTGGTTCGTGGCAGCCACTCTGTAATTTGCGGAAGCCAGCCAGCGCATCCCGTTTATAGCTGCACTATGCAACCAGGTTTGCATTTAACATCACATCGGTTTGTTAAATGTTGTACAGAGTACCATTGCGGCTAGCGCGGGTTTCAATTATTATTATTAATTTTTTCTCTGTATATGGTACCGGAACCCACTTTCCTGATTCTGATCTGCTGTTTTGTGAATACCTTGAAATTTTGGACAGCCGTTATTTGTTTTTTCACTTGTTCGGCAATTAAACAAGTTTTGCGATAGAATGAACTTTTAGTAAATCTTCACTGCCCGTCTCTATTCGTAACGTTAAACGCTAACGTGATACGGTTATACAGTACTTGGATGAGACTTAAACCGTGAAATATGGAGATGTACAATTGAAACAAACACCAAACTGTGCTGCCAATAGATATCAGAAACCAGATTGAACAATAACAAACCGGGCCTAGGAAGTGCCGTGCACGTAACAATACGTGCACTAACTGTTGTGTTTTCCGCGGTGCCTTAACCTTGAACCTCTCCAAAACTATTTTTTTCTGCCGGCAGTTAGTCGTGAACTAGATCAGGAAATCGGATCCAGTCAGAACGGGTTTGCTCATGGGTACCCTGAGCCGTCGCCTCTCGACTCAAAACATATTTTTTCCGGTCAAAGAAGTATCCAAATAACCGGGTTTGGTAATCATGTCTCTGTTAACGGCCATTATAGGTATCTTGCTGAGAAATAGCGTCACATTGCGGCAGGCTGCCCAAAAGCGCTACTGTTGCACCATCAAAAAACGGTGGATGCGTGACATCAAAGCCATACGTAACATTTATCTAGCCTCGGACGGTTACAACCACACTATGCTTAAATGCACATAATTTTCGGAAAATACTCTGTGATTTATCATCATCACTAAAAGCACTGTCATCTTCCAAATTTTGGGTTATCCCCGTACCACCTGAATTGGCCTAATTACCGTCATTGTGGTGCCGGGCGCCAAAATTTTACGGCTTCCTGATCAAGTGTCCCCGCTTCTTCTCCATATTTTTTTAAGCAAATCTTATATCTACCGCACTCACTTCTTATATTCATTTCGTTATACTGCTTCAGTACTGTATACAAAGGGAATTCCAGAAGCAAGTTTCGCTGTTTTATATCTTTTGATGCCTAGTACGTAGTTAGAGGTTCTCATCATCCAGTTAACCACTGGTTCTCATTGAACGTCCAGCATCCACCAATCCACCTTCCTGTCGGTTACATGCGTACTTTTCTGACACTAAGTCGCATATTTTCCCGGCGGGTTTTGAAAATATTCCGTATAGAAGTTTGAGCGGCAATTATTGCTGATTAGATATAAGTACACTTTTATGAGACATAACTGCAGATCGTGAGAGAAAATTGCCACAGATAGATAAACTGCTGCGATTACCCAGTCAAGTCAATAGTGATATCTTGTACTTGTATAATGCATGCCATGCTATTGTAATTCGTGAAGTTTAATCGCATTCTATATGTTCGCACTTCGTCGTACCGTAACGTTTATAATATTACTACCCGTTTGTTTGAAAATAAGCACTTTATTGAGTAAAGCCATGGGACATTCCTGGAACTTCAGTTTTATCCTTGGGGATTAGATTTCAGCCTTTATGATTATTTTATAAATCTGCTGCAATTAAATACAGTACGGTCACATTTCAGACTGAAGACGCTGTGCCATGTTTTGAATTTATTTTGATAGTGAACGATTTCGGTGATGAGATAATACTTCAGATTTTCTTTTTAAATGAAATGGGAGCCAAACTTACAACAGAAAACGGAACAAGATACATATCAGCGACCCAAACGTTCGGCAGCAGTTGCAAGTATGTTTGGCTACCGAATGAAATCATTGGACGCGGGGCATTTGGTGTCGTTTATAAAGCCAGGATTACAATGCGGAACGATTACATCGGGAGCGATGTTGTTGCCGTTAATGCAATTTACTTTGATGCTCGATCCGATATTGTTTCGAATTCAGAAACCTGGAAGAATACAGTCACAAAACTCAAACAACTGACCGAATTGAGGCAAGAAAATCTTGTGGCTTGTCATCAAGTTCGAATCACCACAGCGTATCTAGGAACAACGGTGGAAATAATGATGGAGCGTTGTAGCTGTAAGTCAATATTGAATTTTTCGGCATACAGGTTGCTATTATTTTTGTGTTCGGCAATTTGGTTCTAGGTGACCTCAGGTTTTTCTTAGAGGAAGCAAGGGAAACCATCCCTGTCCACGAAGCCCACAAAATCGTTGAGCGTTACTACAGAGAAATAGCAACAGGCTTAAATTACTTGCATTAACAGAACATAATACACGGAGACCTAAAACCTGCAAACGTTCTAGTGAAAAACTTGGATAACGGTAATAAGAGAATGTTAATCGCTGATGTCGAGGACTTAGTCCATATGCAGGAAAGTGTCACTATGTCCAGGGACATATCTCTACTGCGCGGGACTGTACGGTACATGTCACCAGAAATGCTGAAAAAATTTTTTCAACTTGAAACAGACAATCCGGGTCGCAAAACCGATGTATGGAGTTTAGGTTGCATAATGATGGAGATCGCTGAACATTTCTTTGGCAGCAAGACTGGGGAAAAGCTGCTTGAAAAGGATGGAAACCAGATTGCTTTAAAAGCCAATGGGACAAACAGTCAATTTGCTGAATTGATATTGGATGGTTATGTGCCGCTTGCCTGCCCCAAAATACCACAAACATTGCCAGCTTGTGTCCGACTGTGCTTGCACAGAAGTCCAAACGAAAGAACATCCGCTGAGAGATTGTTCCTGAAATTGCCATCCGCTTGCAATAACAACGTTGTTCTACTGACCAACAGTTCAAGTTCTACAATTGTCAAAGCGATAACCATAGACACAGCAACAAACCGAATTCGAGTTTTGGATGTTCCCATGCCAATCAAGGGTGACATTTTTTTCCCACAGTTAACGATACCGAATCAAGAAATAATAATTCGATTTGCTACGAATGACAGCCGACAAAAAGTCCATATCTGGAATACACAAGAAGGCAATATGCGTTCGCTTTGGTTTGACGAGACGATATACCTCCGTTCATTTTTCCTTGATCTTCAAAGAAAGCCCCCACTGTTGACTAGACCGGTCGTAGTTTTAGACATAATTTATTATTTCCGATTTGACCATAATACGAGTAGATGGCGGTTTCTGGCTCGGGATATTCGCACCGGGTACACCAAGTTTGACAGGACAACTGCCATTGAAGGGTGAGCGACACAGCTGCATTCAAAAGTTGCATTCAAAACTGTTTTATTTTTGGATTAAATGGCGAAACAGAGAAAACATGGTTCATTGGTTTTTATGTTACATGAAAAAAATCAGCCCGTATTTTAATTGCAGAAACAGTATTTATGCAATCGCCGAATTTCGAGGGAAGATACGTATTATATGCGCATAGCATAACATGGGAGCCCCTCCAGCTGGACTTATATAATACGATGACGGAGAAATGGAAATCCTTAACGCAATCTTCTGTACAACTACTTTCTCATGGCCGCACCCATTTTAGCATGGTTGTCCTAGACGGATACGTTTACATTCTAGGCGGACTTGTCAAACCGCGTACAGAGGAAAAAACTCCAACTGCTTCTTGTATTTTTTTAAACACAAGAACGTTCGCATGGGAGTATATGCATCCACTGCAACAACCGCGAGCTTCCCATTCGGCTTGGGCTGTCAAAGAAAAGATATACGTCTGCGGCGGCATGGATTCTGAGGGCCTTGCTGTGTGTTCAGTTGAAGTTTATGATACCGCCCGGAACGAACCTTGGTCAACCGTCCAACTGCCAGTGGAAGACGAAGTTCTCATGCGGCAACTAATTACCGGAACCGAGCCTACAGACGTAGCATTTGTTTAATAGAATTTGTCAAATCGTATATTTGTGTTTCGATTCTGCCCAAATGCATTCTGCGATTGACGCGACAGCGCATGAGGCGAAAACCGTTCCACTTTCTGCTACCGAATACTTTTATGGTAGCTAATCGTTAAATTTTTTATGAATTTAGTAATATTTATTCTATTAATTTTATGCATTCCTTCACTTGAAATTTCTAATAACTGCATTCTGATTTTACTTGCAAATTCTTTTTGTAAAGATGCCGCGTACTGCCGTACGATAATGTTACTTGTCCGCTTAGCAAGCATTCGCGAGTGCAGTGCCTTCTTTGAAAACCAGTTATGAATGTTGCTGTACACGTGAACTCGAACAAACTGATAAAAATGTCATGTAACTTTCACGGTTTATATCGTAACTTTTTATGTTCGAGGTTACAGGTAAACAAATTTCAACAAAAGTAAGGGCAAATTACGCAGTTCGACGAATCCAAGATCACTTTCTTTATGCTATAATGGATTTCGGGTATTCTGCACTGAATCTGATGCTTTTTGCTCGAAATAACACCCGTGCCACCGTTCAGGATGCTGGTCGATACGATTACTTCCTGTTAAAGGTAATCTCTGGAATTCGTCAAAAAACAGTGTGCAGTATAGGGTGATGCGGAATGACTGCTCGAAGTTCAGTGTTCTCCGCTTTACGATGCCTAGAGAAGACTGTCCACTTGGCCGCAATATGTTTTGCGCAGAGCGATTATCGTGCTTGAGAAGTTCATAATTGTAACACACCTTCTTTCCGTTTGGAACAAGGATTAGCGCGATTGTTAAAGGGCACAGAAGAAAGGACTTCGTGGAAAGACTTACCGAATTGCATCCACATTGACGCTGTCAAAACTTGTAGAACAGCCCATTGTGCTCAACAAGCCTCGCAAATACTGGATCTGTCTGCAACTATTCGCCGAGCAGAAGCTGCCACCTTTTTTTTCTTAGCATTTTGTGTGACCCCTCTGAGTTCAAAGCAACGAACGCTCGCTTATCACTACCATTGATCGTACAGAACACCGTGTACTTCTTTTCAACGCTTGTAGTCAATACGGATTCAACTTTGATAAGCAGGCCACCCGGAATTACTACGTCGACGCTGGAAGTACATACTGTGAGGAGGAGTGGCCTCTCCGTTCACCCGCGCACAGGCGGCTGCTAGGTTGTTTTTGCCGTGTTTTTCTCTATCTACCAGATTCTATTCTTTAGTTGCTAGATTTCGTCGTCTGAGCTGGATGCTTTTTCCTTTTTGCCCCGCAGCAAGGTGCTGCGGTGGCCTTTGATGTGTTGTATGTGAGAGCGATAAAGTGTGCAGTGTGTTGGCGTTCAGTTTCCGTTTCTGTTCGCGCACAGGGGTGAACTAGCCGTTCATCCCCTGTTAGAATACGAAGAATCCCTCTCCGCCTGAATTGTGATAGTTTCCAGTGATACTTCGATTTTTTCTAACAACTGATCACGCATAGCCCGGCATGGGTATTATACATTACACGCAGTTAATCATCCGCATTGCGAAATGGACCTGCACTATCGTGTAAATTGGTTGGGTTTGTGGTAATGTTCGATTAGGTAAATAAAGAGAGCGTGAGATCGAAAATAGAGACCACGATGACGTGACCTGGTGTTCAGAAATATCGAAGGACTAATTAATTTCGTTGTTCTGTGGCAATGTGCCCTGTACAGACGCGGATTACCGCCATTATTAATGTGCGGACGCGGTTAACGCCATTATTGACCTACAGCAATTCCGAAACGTGCTGCATCTCTCTGCAAACCCTTTTTTTACGGAGTCTGTATTCCTAGTGTAACTATTTATCCACTTATTTCAAATTGTTAAACTGTGGACCGACTAAGCGATTCGTACTATTTTGTTCCCATAATTTTATTTACTGAACGAAGAATCTCCGTTGTAAGAAACTGCTGCTTAAAAATAGCTGTTAACGCAAAATTCAACACGCCAACGTGCTTTGAAGTGGTGATGTTACAACTGTAGTCATGTCGGACGCTAACGTGTGCACTTCTCAAGTGCAGCGTTACGGGAAACTAACCACACTGCTTGGAAAAAGTGAGCAAAATTCAAGAATGCAGACAAACATATTTTCCACAACTTAAAGCGCGTCCCTCGCTCCAGGTTAGCACTATGCGACTACGCCAAATACAGCAATACTGACTGCGGTTGCCGTGCCGGTTACTGATTCGGTGCACTGTCTGACAAGAGGCTCGGTTTCATACCTACTTAGGCTAAAAACCAAACTAGTTGCGTGCAGATATTCGTAGGACAACTGAACTTAAAACGGTTGCAGTGAATCTTTATTACCTTTTTAAAGATTTTTTATCGTTAAGTTTAAACGCCCTTTAATCTGGCAATATGTCAATAATATTTCCCACTGCTGTGGCTGCCATCGTTATCAGCTTACATGGCCTGTTGTTACCTCACCGGGCAAAGGCCAGTGTTGAATATGGCTTGATATACGGGGATAAGTTTTCGCCCATGGAATACGCGTTCGAAGTAGGTGCCTACCAAAGACTGTCTGTATGGTATTGGAAATTACTAAATTAAATTGGCAAGTGTGCAAGTTGGGAAACTGGGAAAATTTTTATTTTTACCAGTGACATTGTCGGTGGCCAATAATAAGCCAAATAATTTGGCCAGGGTCAAAAAGAGGGAGGAATTTTGAGAGGGAGGAATTTCTGCGTGGTCAAAAAGAGGGAGGAATTTTCGACGAGAGGGAGGAAGGAATTTTAATATGGTCAAAAAGAGGGAGGAATGTTTTCGAAATTCAAATCAAGTACTTAGGGACCTCGAACCCAGGTCTCCGGGGTCGCCACTAAGATATTCTCATTATACACACAGTTTGAAGGGCTGAGTCCAACTGATGTACTCCGCGACCTCGAATCCGCGACCTCGAACCCGACCTCAATATTAGTTATATTTCTCAATATTTTTTCACTATTTCTCATTATTTTAATGAATATCGTTTATTCTATTTCTGCATTTTTTTAAAATATAGTTTTGAATTTTGAAATATATTTCTATATACTACTGAATGTACTTATTCGTATTTTGTGATAAGTTTAGAAATATCTAATTATTTCTTTACACATTTGTGAATATATTTTAAATATTCTAATTATGTTTTTAATTATATAACACATTTTTCAATATTTTTACTTCTGTGTAGCTCTACCATTCTGTATTGCGTAAAACGTAAACGTAAAAATTCTGATCACAGTGTTTGAGTATATCTGAAAAATAAAATACTGTAAATATAAACTGGTTAACAGAAACAGGGTTTCTGAAATTGGCATTCACTTCAAAATACATAAACTTTTAAGTATCAAAAAACATAGCATGCCGAATTATATTTAACTAGAACTTATACGTTTTTGTCCTTGCTGATTATGTTCTAATCAAATTACTTATGCAATGCTACTGTAGAGATAAATTCGAAAACCCATTTCAGATCAAATTTTCTTAATGGTTACCGCAAGCTTTGAATCATAAATTCATTTTTATTTTTATATATTTTATCACTGTTTGGATTCTAAAAGTGCATTGGAAAAATTAAATCTTGCTAAAATGGCATTAAATATTTGCAACCCTGACTTTTGGAAGCAAATTAACAGCAATTTCTTTTATCTGCGGTTGACAACTTGACACATAGTAACACAATGACACATGACACAATGTTTCATAATGAGACTTTCTGATGTGCCGGTTTGTTTTAAAACTCATTGAAATCTCTAATAATATGTAGTATCTCCTAGTGTATGGTCTCATAACGTGTCATACGCTTTTAGGGCAAGCGAGCAGCGGTTTTGTGATTCAAAATATATAAGGCAACGAATGCATTTAGAATTAACACGTAAGCGCTGAAGCTGCAGAGTCAGCTAGTAGATCTAAATTCTCATTATAAACCACCTTGTTAAAATCGTACATGTAAATGCGCATAAGTACGTAAACCGTTTTAATACCAAGCAACTTATCTAGCATTTTTTTGTTCTTAAAAAAACACATTTTAAAAATCTTAAATTATTTTTAAGCCTGGAAAAAAAACCAAAATCTTGGTGCCTTCACTTCCGCGTGAAATCCCACCGACCGGTTGTTGCGCACAAAAAACTCGTCGCGCTCGGAGTTGCGGTACGTGCGGTACGGACGGCCTGTTATTTTCCAAGGTTTTTTAAAATAATTTTAAAGCACTATGGAAAAACGATTAGCATCTCATTTTACATCTCATGCTGCATCATCAAAGTTTTGTTGCCGGAGTTTTGCAACCATCGTGCTCTCTTTCCAGTATCGCGTGTTTCCAATTTAATTTGACTATAGTGGTTTACTCATGAATAACTCAGATACAGAATTATTCTGTATCCAAGAAATAATATACAATTAATTTTAGTTTCTGTTTTAAAAAAAACTTAATAGTGCTTTTAAAATAACTGATACTAAACAAACCAGGAAAATTTAGGAATCCGCTCGAAAGTTTAAATTTAAATTTGAACTGAACGTGAAAATAAAATTTTTTTAAACAGAATTTTTGTTAAAATGATTTTCATTTGGGCAGTAGTTGAAAGGTTAAGAAAAATAATCTAATTTCCGCTTCAAAATTCACGAAACACTTTAAAATTTCAGATTTTTAAAATAAAAATTAATTAAGCAGCCAGAAAAATTTTAGGATTTTTATTTATTTCAGTTCGACTGAGTTTCGTCTCATTCAGCACTTAACACTGGCAGTTAAGTTCTGTTGCGAATCGCTTCTCATCCTTATACAACTCATTCTGTGCGGATGGATGTATACGAAATCTATAGGAAAATAAATTCATTGGAACTGATATATCGGTGTTCTTGCGCAGTTTTTGAAAACCAAATTAACGCCTCAGATAATATTCGTTCTGAATTTTGGCTACTGTACCCGACCAGTGTTGAAGTGGATTTCTGGTAGCTACTTAGATTTAATTTAAGATAATGAGCCTACCTATGGATTTGAAGATGGTAGTATGTATTGGTAAATCGAGATTTGGCCTATTATTTACTTCGAACTTAGGCTTTTTGACATTAACAACTCTACACATCTAAAGTATTTTGGCATCTATATTGAACTATCCAGATGTCTTCAATTTTAGCTATTTTGGTTGTTGTATATGCACCGACCTTGAAGTTCTGGTGTTCGAAGATTCAGTTATCAATATAACTGTTAAGTTAATAGTTGTTTAGGTTTCTTAACATTTTAAACAACTTATTTTTATTTAACAAAAATAAAAAAAGCGAAGTTTTAAGGAGTAAATATTTTTGCGTGATTATGTATTTAGGTTTAAAGCATTTTGGTGCTTAAAAATTGAGGATTCCAGATAATGACATGCAAAGTATTTACAAGTGGAAGTTCAGTTTTAAGATGTATTCAGGTACTGTAACCCGAAATCTGGACATCCGGTGACCAAAAGTTTAGTGTGAGGTGTTAAAACATTGCAGGTTCGAGGGACGCGGTTCCGAGGTCTCTGAGCACTTCAGTCCGACTCCGAAAAGCAAACAGTGCATATATGTTGCATACCGTGGTGGCGACATCTGGGACCCGGTTTCGATGGTCCTCCAGTACTTTAATTCGACTCAGCATGTCGAACTGTATAGGAATCACCATGAAAATCTGTGGAGACCCAAAGGTCACGTCGCGACCTAAAGGTCACTAGTGCTTCCGTTTCATCGAGCCCTCGACATGTCTTGAATTACAAACGCGGGCTCGCTTCGCTCGCCCGCTTGAAGAGAAAATCTCGGTGGCGACTTTGGGGACCCGGGTTCGAGGTCCCGGACTACTTCAGTTGGACTCAGCCCTTTAAACTGTGTATATAATGAGAATATCTTGGTGGCGACCTCGGAGACCTGGGTTCGAGGTCCCTAAGTATTTCGTTTGAATTTCGAAAAAATTTCTCCCCCTTTTTGACCATATCAAAATTCCTCCCTCCCTCCCTCTCGTCAAAAATTCCTCCCTCTTTTTGACCACGCAGAAATTCCTCCCTCTCAAAAGTCCTCCCTCCTTTTGACCTTGGCCAATAATTTCATTTGATGTATTGTACTAGTACTACTGTCACCACTTTCCTTTGTTGTATTTGTGCACTACTATGTACTTGATTTTGAGTGTACAGTACAGTAATCTTTTGTGTGCAGTGTTTTGGCTTCTCGATCCCACCGCACGACATGTTCAGAAAGCTTACGGGCCCGCTTTTCAGACACTGTACTGTGCCAGATATCGCTACAGTCGGTGGATCCGCTCAACTTGGCGATCCGCTGAAGGTCAAGTACCAGTTTCATTACAAGGTACGTGCAGCTGAAAATATGCTTCTGCAACATCAAAGTTTTTAACCGATGGGACAATTAACGGGCTATTCGTTCAAATTTTCTGCCCGTTTTGTTTCGTCCAGCCCGGGAACCGATTGCTGCGCACGCAGTGATCGGTTCCCGGGGCTGGCATGACATCAGTATGACATGAATTCTGGAGTGCTCGGAGAGCTTCTGATTTATTTTTATTCCCTTTAAGAAACCTATTTAACAGATCAATAATAGTGCAATTATGGTTGCTAAGGCAATACTTGCTAAGGTTGCTGAGGCTAAGGCAGTTTTCGTAGACTTTTATGAATTTGGTACCATGTTCTCTGTACCCTATTTAGCCTGAAGCAATAAAATGCCTTCAAAGTCTGTTCTAGTATGATATTGTTCTTGCTATTGACTTCAGTGTAGCCGCCCCATGAGTAGGAGCAGTTGGAATCCACCTGTTCTTCGCTGTGTACCGGAGAATGATTGCGATTCTTGCGTATCCATATACAGCGAAGCCTTGTGTCAGTATGATGTCGTTTCCCTGAGTCGCCTCTGGAATGGTTGTACCCCAATTGCTGATGAAATTACCAAGATAGATTCAACCGAGGACGGAGGTGAAATTGTGATGGATTTAATTCAAGGTCGCATTATAGAAGCCGCGGACAATCGCAATCCCGGGAATCACGTGTCAGGTAATAATGCCAGGTTGTTCCGGAAGCATGTGGACAACGGGTCGTTTTCCTTTCTATTTGCTTGCCGTAGTGAGCCTGCAAAGTGCACATATTAAAATGGAAGTCGATCGAACTCGAGAGGATTATCTGTAGACATTAAACGTAAATTGGCGGAAAAACGAATTCTACCGGATCAAAGAATAGTGCGAGGGCAATCACTACGATGAGCGAATATGGATACCGAATATAGCGAATACAGAGATTGTGCGCAAAATGAGCAGTAGCTGACCCAATTTCCGCCCAATCTTCCTTTAAGGGATTTGGCCCGGTACATAGCGCCAAGTTCGTGTACATCCAGGGGAACTTTCGCTGTTACGCGCTCGCAAACACTTTTTTGCATTGCTTTATAGTATTTTGTAGCCAGAAGAATTGTATACCTAGGTGAGAAAACCGTTTGCGCGCGCAACATCCGGTTGCGAAGTTATGAGGGTATCAAAATTCCAAAAAGTTTAAATGCATTCAGGTGTACCAAAAATCTCATTATGGACTGATCCCTTTAAAATTTTGCGCGTAAATGCAATAACCATGAAGACCGTTTTGACACGGATCCAGACTTCTACGATTTTTTTCGAATTTTAAAATGAATTTTAAAGTTTTTGAAATTCATTTTAAAATTTGACAAACATGCTAGAACAGTGGATCCCTGTCAAAACGATCTTCATGGTTATGTGCATTTACATGCAAAGTTCGAAAGGGATCGGTCCATAATGAGACTTTTGGTACACCTGAATGCATTTAAACTTTTTGGAATTTTGTTAACCCTTTAACTCCCGAGCCGGATGTTGCGCGCGGAAACGGGTTTCACGCCTATGTACACCAATCATTTGGCTACACAATGTCGAAAAGCAACCCAAAAAGGTGTTTCCAAATGCGCGAAAGCGAATATTCCCGTCAAATGTACACGATTTTAGTGCTATGTACCGGGCCAAATCCCTTAACACTCGCACAATTTCTACTGCCGCTCAGGCGCAATAAATGCTTAAAAAACCGAGAACAAATTCTGTAGTTGTGCCACGCTCCCTAGCCTTACATGTATTCCTAGAGAATTTGATAAGCTATCGAATTAGCTAAAGTTTTAGGAAAACAGACCAACTGTGTTAATGTTGGCCAACAAAACGGGAACACTCCCGAACCGGAAGTGACACACGTTTTCCCTATTTACGCTCGACCAGATTTTTTGTTTGTAAATCGGACAACGTACGTTGCTAGATCCTGTGATTAAGCATATTTTAATACTGTTTGACACTTAGGGAAAATTAGGTTGTTGATAGGGGAAGAGAAGTTTGTGACACCGGAGACTGTAAAAATCGCTCTGTCCGCGGTTCTATCGTCTCCCTCGGACTGGCTTTGTAGCGGACTGCGCTAATCTGATCTTACCAATATTTTATTAGCTGATTATTTGAGTGGTTGAGGCATGACTGTTATTCGATATTGTTCATTGCTTTTCATTATTGATAATGTTTTATTTCCTCCAAAAAATAATCTAAAATTTTAAAACATCATTTGCTAATTAGGAGCCGTGTGAACACTGCATCTGAGGTCGACCTCAACAACAACCGTGTTAAAACAACCTCAGAGCAAGTTGAATTGCTGGTTTATACAGAAACCAAAGAGCTCACTGATGAAACGTCAGAATATGTTTATCGATCCCGTACGTCAGAAGATAAGCAGTTCGTTACATTGTTGTGTTGTTGTTATCTGGAAATAGCGTAATGGAGATCAGTTCCTCAAAGTAAATGGCAGCCTCGGCCTCCCAGACGAGACGAGTCCCTCTCGCATAACTAAAAACCGAATTTGCCATAGTGACGGCTCAAATCAACACTGCTAACTACCCAGGAGTCGACTCCATTTGGAAAGTAGACATAACATCGACCATCTTTCCTCACAGATTCTGCAGATGTGCGCTGCTGGCTGTGTTTTTGAGCTACGGTATCGCAGACTTTGAAGAAACGAGTTAATACAAATTATTCGAAAAACGAGATTTTTCGCAGGCACAAGGCCCATGACAAGGGATATTGCTGAGCGTTCCAATCTTGATCTGCAAATCAATGCTCCATAATACCGATGATAAGATTTAGGAACTTACAAAACTACAATGGGTCGACCCAGATTTTCTAGATATCGGAACTAATAACTCTGCACTCTGCGACGCACAAAAGTAAAGGAAAATGATGAAAAAATCAAAGATCAGGCACACTGTAACTAAGTTAAATTTGGCGCAAGTGTGTAAAAGCCTCGTAACACAGCCGGAAATGGGCGTGTTGCACGATCGTGATTGGAGCTGCCTGGCCGGCGCACAGAAAAAGCCGACGTAAATCGAACGTGAAATTGTGCGAGTGTTAAGAAGATAAAGTTTTTACAGTTAAAAACGCTGACACAAACAGGGCTGAACAGACTAGCATAAAGGTATGCATGCTTTGAAAGAATAAAACTGAGCCAGCTGAGTGTTCAAGTGCCCAAGCAGTAGTGGCGGGCGAAACGATTTTCTCGGTGAACTACTGAAAACAACAATTATGCGGCTTATAGCATTAAAATTTTGTCAGTCTAACTGATGCTTGATTGTTGTTGACAGGCCGACCGTACTGTGACGACGCCAAAAGAGCATGGTAATCCATCCCTGCTTCGTGGCCCCGGTTCTGATCGTTGTCGACAAGATGTCATGCCTACAAAAGGTCACATGTGGAAGCCGAGTAGAACAGAATGTGCCGTTTAAATTAAACTGGTCGGCGTACCAAGACGCCTGGGACAAACTGGCACCAATTTCCAAGCGTGCCTTGGACCGCGCATTGCACAGGCTGGTTAAGTGCACCAATGCCACTGTTTCTGACAGTCAGCAGTGCGGTCGATGCAAAGCTCAGAGGGATGTAGCTAGACTGTACGATGATGGATACACAATGAAGGTGTAACGTGGATAAAACTGATCAAGTCTGTTTGCAATGTACTTCCTTTTCCTCTCAGCAATGAACATCAGGTGCTCATTTTTTCTGTTTTTTAATCCTTAAAACAATTTTACCGTAAATGCAATGTGCCCATGTGTTTTCGGCGCATACTTTCAGAAGCTTCTTTGCGGCAAAGTTGCGCGGAATGGGGCTTATAAATAGCATTGTGATTTACCTGTCACTCCAACTTCCTTACTCCGTATTTGTACGCCTATTTATCGAGAAATCGTCTCAGACGAAAACTTTCACAGTGGATTGTTTCGCGACGGACTGTTAGATATCCCTTATAACGAAAATTGAGGTAGCTATTGCAGACTCAGTTAACCCGTTGACGGGCATTGGTGTCTGGAAACGACAAGGTGTTTCGAATTTTTTCCCCAGCGATCGGCTACAGTTATTCGCTATCCCTTAATGTAATAAGCAACAAGGGACTTTAAAGCAGCGTTATAAACATAATTTGAACTTGTGTCAAAAGTCAACTAAGAACAACAGGTGCGCAAAAACGCTAATTTCAAACTTTTTAAGCTATCGTAGCTCGTGCTAATTAACTAATTACCGGATGAACAAATAAACCGGAGATAAATCAACAAGGTATAATTAATAGCGCTTTATTCAAAAATATCTAATATGGGTTCTTCAAGTTGAACCGTAGACGACCACAGTCCGTCAAAAACTTGTGTCGTCTGCCAACGCCAATGCCCATGAAGGGTTTTGAATACATAGGGGGGTGCGATTTCGGCAGCTGTTCTTTATTATGTAAGTGGATCAAGTTACCGCCGGTTTGGATGCAAAACATGCGCCACGCGGTTCCGGTTGTCGCAAGCTGGCATGAAACGCTTTTTTGACCAACACCCTGGGCGGTAGGCCACAAAGCAAACATTGCTTTAAAAGTTAACATTTCTGAATAGCAAAATATTCAAGGACACACTGATAAGTGGCTGCACAACACTACACTCTGCCGCGTTTCTACCTACGATTCTGATGTATCGCTTGTGCAAGCGAGCGATTGCGCCGCGAGGCTTTCAAAAAACATGCAGATGAGTTTTGACCAGATTGAGCGATTGCAGATTACAACGATTGCAAACTGTTACGAGCACATTGGCGATTCGACCTTTGCGGCCGGCAGCTTGTGCATTCTCGGCCGGCAATGCATTCGGAAAAGGGCTAGCGTGTGTGATTTGGCGCCAATCACCACTACAGCTGAACCATCCACGCCGCTTTTCCGATACTGGCAACTGCAGGCCTGCGGCCGCACCCAAAAAAGTGCATGCGCGGACCATGCAAGAAATGCAAGGCCGCTTGACGTGCCAGAAGTGCAGCAATTGCAGTGATGAAATGCTTAAAGAGGGCTACACAAACGCGCAAAGTGCCATTTGGGAGAGTAATGAAAGTTTTGAGAAAGGATATTGCTAGCTTTGCTTGTTTTTGTGTTTTTTAACATGTAGTAGTTATCAAAATTCATAAAAACGCGTTTTGGTAATTTTTAATTTTTTGCTGACCAGTGGTCAAATGCTTGACCATTGCTAGACCCCTGTTTTAAAGTGCTTTTTCTGTGCTATTTAATGATGTTATTGCTTTTACGTAATTTCTGTTTGCCTAATTATTGCAACATTAATCATTTTTATGCTGTAGACCGTCCATGGGCATTGGCGTTGGCAAACGACATAGTCACCACTGCTGACCTATGGTCAGCACAAGCTCACAAAAAATTCCCTTTCTTAATTGAATTTTTTCATCGGGAAATCGTGATTTTCAATTGGAAACTCGCACTCCTTCGAGTACCGCCCGCTGGAGGGTTAATTAAACTTTGCCGGATCCACAAGCCAGCTATCTGATTGCTCGTCTTTGAGATAAAAAGTACAGAAAAGCAGCGCAATGATATTGTAAAAAATGGAAAATAGCTTTATTCAGCCTGTGTACTGATTTCACAAAGTCAGCGTCGCCAAAATACACATTACTGGCTATGCACATTACTGATTTCAGCACTGGACAAGGCCTTGAATTAAGTACCAAGTCGATTTTCTGCAATTCTCATTAAAAGTAACGGTTTTATTAAACCGAGAAAAAAAAACGCTATTGAAAGTTGCACTTTATACTAAAATTTAAAAATATATCAAACTCGAACTGAAACCGGCAGAATCCGCCGTGAAAAGGGATCAGTGTGTGCGGAAAACGAAATTTATTTACTTCGAAATTCTTGTAGACGAAAAGCTCGACTACCAAAAAATACTGCTGATAACTGCGGTAAGAAATTATTTTAATGACTTGGTAAAAAGCGTGCAAATTTTCGTATTTAATAAAACGGCATGCCATATTTTGCGATCGCATAGATGCATAAAATGTTTTTAAAGCGTATAAAAATTATCTTTCTGTAATGGATGGAAACTTTTTTAAACTTCTTTTACTGAAAGGGCAGCTTTTGTCCAGCGCTGGAGTTTGTCGTGATCAGAATCCATTGTTATGAGCCTGGTTGAACTTGCGCTTTACTTTCTACTCCACCACGGTGTATCCAAGGGAGTAGAGTTTCTTCACTTCCTCTAGCTCTTTACACCGACTGCACTGCTCCTTGGTAACAACGGCGGCATGGTCTGTGATGTTCAGGCAGTTGTCCAGCACGGTCATCGCTCTGTTCAGCGTATATTTCGTCCAAGCCGTTAGTCTGTCAAAGACGTCATAGACCTTTTCCCAGTCATGCCACATCACCTTGAACGGCATAATCACTTCTGGACGGGTTCCACAGAGGACCCTATGCAGGCCATTCCTTCTTCTGACAGTCAACATGAGCGGCGGCTCGCAGCACGGATGGATGACCAACTTTGGTTCCGGTTTGCCAGCGTCCACGTACGGGTCACCTGTCAACAAAGACCTACCATGTAGAACTGTACCAAAAGATTGTGTCATACATATCGCGCGAGGATGAGCGTTTTTTCAGCTAGCGGTTTACACGCAGCGTTTGTGTCCCTGTGGCAGGCTGTTTGTTAATCTCGCTATTTAATTTTCAAGTGCGGACTGCCAGACCTAACATTTCACATAACCTTGCATTGTGCGGTGTTGAAGATATATTCCATAATGCCCAGAATAAACCAGGTTAATAGAGCTTCACTAATAAAGACACAGTTTATTTTCGTAACCAGGCAAAGCTGTTTTTTTTAAATGTTCAGCCAGAAAAATGATTCTTGGCCACAGTGTTCCAATGACCCCTGAAAGCCTACGCTTTGCATGGTATGTTCATACAGAATCATTTGGCTGCGCAGAAAGTCGCAGAATGTGGCAGTACGAAATTATACCTTCAAATTCCACACATTTTCTTTCAAGAAAGAGAACATACACTATCTTACCCGAAACGTGAGGTTCGTCACCATGACGAATATAGTCCATAAACCAATCGGACGTATAAGGAGATAATTGTTCTGTAGGAGAGTTCTCGATCTCAATGGACTCCAGATTGGTCATTTCACCATACCGAGGTGTACAAGTCTTCCAAAAACGGCTCAGAGAGAGCATATCGTATTGGCACATCACTTCGCTGTATAACGTCTTGCAACACATGCAAGAATTTTCCGGAACACAGTCTGGCCCGCGTGACGGCTGGTAGCAATACGCCCAGGGCCGGCGACACTAAAACCAGCAAGAACGGACGTCGTAATAACTATTGCTGCAGTTCAAAACTTAAAGTTGCAGTACGGTAACAGTCAAGACAGTAAAGAGTTTCGCATTTAGCCGTGCCCGCTTCGAAATTCGGTCTGCGACCCTACAGCTAACTCATTATTATGCGATCAGTAATTTATCGAATATTTATTGCCTGATTAGTTTCTACGATATTTTTCTCGTATATTTTCGGATTTATTGATTCAACCACATTCATTTCTTCTATTCATTTCTTTTTTGTTTTTGCTTTTCAAAAATTTTTATTTTTACTTTCTAACTGGTATTATGCGGCTCGTACATTAGCCTAAAACATGTCATGTGCGCGGTACAAACGGCTGCTAAGAAAGGACGATATAACCGAACAGAAATAATGCATCCATAAGTGTTGAAAAAGACTAATTGACTAAATCTAGAATTAGGCAAGCATCACGGTGCTTCTTTTTCAAATTTTGAAGTTTCGAAAGTCGAAACCCATATGTAATAAACGCAAAGTTGCAATTAATGTACCGTATAATACAGTATGTTGGTACAGTGTATCGAGCCGATCTATGCTTGATTTATTCAAAATATTTCCTACCAGCGGATTCTTTGAATCGATTAAGTATACTAATGGAAAGCAGTCAGAACCAATTACAGGCGAATCATTGCAAAAGAAATCCCCTTAACCTTGGCCTGTTTAACGAAGCCTACTTGTCAGAGGTCGCTCTGGCTAAAAGTCGACCTAATACGCTGTCTACTCTAGCTTTTACAAACAGATATTCGACTAACGGAGCATGGTTTGGACTTACCGTGTAACGAACTTGGAACTTGCCAGCAGTCGAAGCATTGCCGACTTCAGTGAACTTCCTCGAACTGCACCGTCCGACAGATATCTTGTTGAACTCGTTAAAAAAAGCTTCCGGCGGGAAAGGACCCGGACACTGTACACAAGAAAATAACTGTAAATTAAAATGGTGAAATATTGTATTTAAGCATAGGTAAGTTGATGAGATTGACAGAAAGAACAATACAGAGGGTGCGGCAGCCAAACTGAAACAACTTTTCAAAATTTTTTTTCGCAGTGTACTGCAAATAATTTTTTTGTCAAACTTGAATTTTTGAATGAGCTGTTTCGATTTGGCTGCCGCACCCTCTGTACTTATGAAGCAATAGACGAGACGGCAGATGTGCAGCAGTGCTAACGACCAGGAGTTGGCACAGGATAATACTAAAATCAATTCGAAATGAAACAAAATCTGACAATAAAACGTAATTTTTATTGCTCATTTCCCAGTAACTTTTCTGATATCAATATAGATACTAACGTATCGTTGATTTCAAAATCTGTTTCGTGGTATTTTGGTAAATCGACCTCTGATGTGCAATTTCGCCATAAAAAATCTTGGAAAATAATTTTGCGAACAGAATTTAATTTTTCGGTTGAGAAACTCAAAACTTATAAAACGACTCGATTTAAATCTGTAAATATCAGATCTAGGAAATGTAATTACAACCACCTACTTCAAGCGCGTAGTCGAACGGCCGATAAGGATCCCCGCTGGAATTCGTAGCAGCCGCTATCCAGCTGGGTGTCGGGCCTGACGGCGTGCCGTTGTGGGTTTCATCTTTGATCGTACAAAAGTCCCAGAAACGGCTCAGAGCGTACTTATGATACTGGCAGTATGCTTCTCTGTAGATGTTCTTGCAGCAAGTGCAGTCTTTTTCGGGGGTACATCGAACGGCCACCGGCTTATGCGTACACAAATCCTTAGGGACCCAAGGCACCACGGGCCGATAACACTACATAGCCAAAACAAGCGGGTGAGCAACGTTGGCGGTTGGAGCAATGTATTGGTATGTATCCGCTACTTGATTGACTTCAACAGCTCTGCATGGTAGTTCTAGCATGCAAGGAAGAAGCATGGAAGTTTGCTAAAAGCATGCAAGGTCATTAATGCCGCCATTAATAATGAGATTTACCGTGGTCTGTGTACAGTCTGGCTCAATGGTGTCTTTGTAGCATACAAACCCTGGATTTACGTTATGCTTAACCGAAAAAAAAACCGGATCAAAGACTCGGTTCTTTAGATGCGTAGACAGTACCGACCGCAAGAACGAAAGAAGAAGAACGACATTCCACTTTCGAAACAGCCCAGAAGGGCTTTTATAATTTGCGATCCGTATGTGATCACGACAGCTGGTCAGAACAAGAGGCAGTCAGCATACTGAACTGTTAGACATCATTAAATCCGTATTATGAGTCTGATTCTTTAAGCACTTTTTATGCTAGCAGCTAATGAAGCTGACACCGGGCAAGCTTCAGAAAAACAGAAAAATGGTATGGGATTGAACTGAGAAAGTCTGACTACACATTTTGTGTCTACAGACAACATCTTTTGAAACATGCGCTCGGTGTCTAAGGAGCAACCCTCTGTATATTGTGCGTAAATCTATTGCAAGACGTATAATACGGTCTAACGAACGCGAGATAGCTCTGAACAGTGTACATACACTGTATATATTATGTAAGCGAACTTACAGTGTAATTTAACAGGTACGTCGTTGCATGGACGGCACTTCCCGAATCCGCTGTTGTGGGGGTGATTACGGTAACATTTGACTTGCTGCAGTCTGGATTTGTATAATCATACATATGCATAATCTTCTCAAACTGATCCTCCCATCCGGTGGGATAGTTCGGGCACTGTATGGTACAATCATGATGCTTGTAATGCCAGTTAAAAGTAAATTCTAATGCCGGGATTATTTTATTTACTATTACCAACAACATGCATAGTATATTTTCTATAAACTAAATCAACATTTGGCGCGTCTTCTGATGCCAGTATTACCTCGTAAGAATATTTCATCAGCGGCAAGCCATTCGGATCATCGGCACAGTCATCAGCAACTGAATCCATTCCACGACAAACTGTTGTCGTTAAAGCATTTGGCACGATACCAAAGACTACAACCAGAGTTGTCAACGATAACATGATCGGCTGCCAACGACGCAAGACAGAAGCTTATCAAGACTGGTTGAAACAAATTACCGGCAATATTGAATTAATTTTGGATAGCCGGAGCGCTGCTGTTTTGCTAGACTTAAATATGAAAAATACGAGTATCAAGGAAACGTTGGCATACCGCGAAACCGAAGTAGGAAGACTTCTTGAGTGTAATCAGCAAGTTTTTCCTAAATTCCGCTCATTTTTTCCAGCATTCTGGCTGGTTTCTTGTAACGTTGCACTTCAAATATGCAACGTAAATGACTGACTGTAATATTATGCCCACTTCACGTTGGTTAATTTGCTTAATCGTCGCATTTTCAGGCCGTTGCTGCCCACACTTTCTCGCAGCGGTGATTTTGTTTTCTTGAAAATTTAGTGCTTACAGTCTTTATGAATATTTTTGGTATCCCTTTTATTTTTGTCTATGAAGTCTGCAATCTTTCCATGGATTACAAGGGCCAAAAACGGATGGTTTTGACATTCCACGGTTGTTGAACGAACCTGGTTGCAGTTCCGAATCATCTGGCCCTTGTAATAAAAACGGGCACAGATATAACAAAATTAAAAAAAAACAGATAAAAAAAATAAAAATCAATGAAAAAAAAATAAAATTCAATAAAAATCATGCAATAATTGTACTTTTAATGCGTCTCCTGAAAGCGATTACAGATACATATTTTCTATCGGTATGACTGGATTTACCGAGGAGGTGATTGCTTTTTTGGTCACCACCGTCCAATAACATCCTGCAGGGCACTTTGTCCAGTCCATGTCATTGTTTACACCAATATTTAGTACGAAGCTATGCATTTCCAAAAAACGATGAGAACGACGGGTCCCGCCCCGAAATGGAAGTTTAAGTGTAGTAAAACCGGCGTACAGATCATTCGCGCAGTGTACGGTCCCGCTTGAACGCTTCTAATAAAATCTATTAGAATTTCGAATAGTTATAGGATATTTAGTAATACGATATTTAATTATCGAAGCTGGTTTTCGTTAAGTACTGAGTACGGTAGTGGGCAAGGTTGCGAAAAAACGTACCAAGACGACATCGTTTCGCAGTAAAGATTAACTGAATGCCACGGTAAGAAACTCTTGAATATTTTTAAATCTCTTAAAAAGTACATGCGACACGTTGCGATCACATACTGTACATGCAAAAAGGAACCGTTCAGGTGAAAAACAAGCATTTTTGTAAAATCTCCAGTTTCATTTTATAGGTGGCATTTCCTTAACTTGCTACACCTTTACGGTGTATCCAGAGTTCCACAGGTCCTTCACTTCCCCCAGCTCTTTGCACCGATCGCACTGCTCCATGGAAACAACGCCGGAATGGTCACTTATATTCAAGCAGTTATCCAGCATGGTCATTCCTCTGTTCAGTCTGTGTTTTCGCCAAACTCCGAGTCTGTCCCAAGCGTTAACGACCGGCCAAGCCGAGGCGAACAAACCGCCCTGGACATCGACGCTGACCGTTGGCTTAAACATCCCACATTAACTTAAACGGCATAATCATTTCCGGACGGGTTGCACAGAGGACCTTTTGCAAGCATTGCTCCTTCTCAAATGTCCACATGACTGGCGACTGGCAGCACGGATGGATGGCCACGCTGGGTTTACCGTCGTCACAGTACGGGTGTTCTGTAAATAAACATGACAATATGTACAGGGTAGAGCTGTAGACTGAAGTAATGGGCGCATAGTCTTCACACAACGCCTGCGCATACGCTTCTCTGTTAGGACTTACGAGTTAGAACTGACGATTTATGTGCATCGAATGTATCCCTGTTGGAAATTGCTTGTTGATTTTATTCTCGAGTTCGGACCGACTGGTTGACTGCCAAAATGCTTTACCTTATATTGTATAATGTAAAAAGTATTTCGCACTGCCTCACCGATAAGCCGAAATTTTACTAATAAAGCTGGAGTTCGTTTTCATAGTCTGATATAACCGGTTGTTAAATAAATTTTCAGTCAGAAAACTGAAACTTACGTGAAAAGTGAGTTGCGTTGCCATCGTCATCTGTCCACGAGGTATCGGACGCAGGAGAGAGGTCTTTGGGAGAGTTCTCGATCTCGATCGTCTCCAGCTTCGTCATTTCATTATAAAGAGGCGCACAGGCGTTCCAGAAACGGCTGAAAGAGAGCATATCGTACTGGCACATGATCTCGCTGTACAGGGTGCTGCAACACATGCATCCATTTTCCGGTACGCAGTGCGGTCCATGCGACGGCCGGTAACAATACGCCCAGGGCCGGCGTCACTGAAATCAAAAAAAAAAGAATGACATCGTTAGTTTTGCTTTATAGCCGCAGTACGTTAACTGCCAGGGTAGCAGCAAATCCTAGAAATGGTCGTGCGCAGTTTATCCCGCGCCTGTTGCGCCTACCATTTCATTACGCCAACCTAATTTATAAGCTAGAATGACTTAGTCTTTTAGTCACCCGATTAGTTTCTACTCGTATATTGACTGATTTGTTCATCCACCTACATTTCTCTTACTTATTCATTTTTTTTGTTTTTTTTTTTAATTTGGCTCGTATTAAAAGCTTGATTTGGCTCGTATTGCTTGCTTGATGTACCGGTATATCTGCCTTTTAAACAAATGCGCGGTACACAAGGAGGATGAGAAACACTGAATTTAAATACTAGTACAGTATATAGAATTCATTGTTTTGTACATTTGTTTAAAATACACAATAACCGAATCTGGCACAAACTAAATGTCATGGTGCTTCTTTTTAAATTTTAAAATCTCAAAAATCATAAAATAGCGCGAAAAGCTTTAACAGAATGGCGAGTTTGTTAACATGTGGTCAACTTGGCACTATGTACTGTGCCGCATGATACTTAAACCATTCGAAGTATTTTTTAACAGCGGATCTAGTAAATAAAGGTCACTTCTATGCACCCGGTAATTTCCAGGCGCTTAGTCCACTCGTGTTTGTGTAATCGAAAGCAGCTACACCATATACATGAAAAAAATTTTAAACGAATCCCTTCAGAGTTTGTCCTGAATAATGGTGCCAACTGTTCAAAGACCGCTCTGGCAAAACTGCAGTCTTTCTTGTATTTGTACTGACAGATATCCGAATAACGAAGCAAAATTTTGGACTAACCGGGTAACGAGCTTGAAACTTGCGAGCAGCTGGAGTATCGCCGACTTGCTTGATGTTGCTGATACTGCATCGTCCGGTAGTTACCTTTAAAAACTCTTTAAAAACTGCATCCGATGGGAGGGAAGAGCCCGGACACTATGCAGAAGAAATTGAATGCCAAATTAAAATGGTGTAGGCAGTATTGAAAAAGAGCAGAGAATAGATGCGAAACTTTCGAAATTTGACTAGAAGTTACTGTACAACCACCACCTTCAAGCGCGTATTCGAACTGGCGATAAGGATCCCCGCTAGAATTCGTAGCAGAAGCTATCCAGCTAGGTGTCGGGCCTGACGGGGTGCCGTTGTGGGTTTCATCTTTGATCATACACAAGTCCCAGAAACGGTCCAAAGCGTACGTATGATACTGGCAGTAGGCTTCTCTGTAGATGTTCTTGCAGCAAGAGCAGTGTCGTTCGGGGGTGCATAAAACGGCCACCGGCTCTCGCGTGCACCATTCCTCAGAGACCCGCGGTACGACGGGGCGATTACACTACATACGATCGCATAAAGAACGTTTGAGCTAAATGTAAGAACGATGCTGTTATAATTTCACTTGATAAAATAAAACTTCACTTGATAAAATTGAACAGCTTTTTATTTCGGTTCCAGCTGTATAGTTTGGTAAAGGATGCAAGGTTATTATGCAGTTTTGATTAAAAATTCACGTTATGCAGAATTGAGAAAGCACCGGATCACAGATTCGATTGTTTAGATAGTGCCCGACCGCTAGGACGAAAGAAGCAGAGCAATATTTCAATTACGATACAGCACAGCCGGAATCTGAAAACCAGATACCATTCTGTGATCAAGGGCGGCTGGGCAAAACAAGAAGGCAGCGAGCACAGGTAACCATTAGACAGCTAACCGCTTTACTGTTATTATTTTCTGTGGAACTGAGAAAGCCTAATTACACGTTTGTTGCATTATGCGTTGTTCTACGTATTACGCATAGTAAACACAGAATTACAACATGAAAAACAAACGCGACAAAAGAAATGCAATGAAATGATGAAATGATTTAAATGATAAATTTTAAAAGCAGTGAAATTCATTTTATTTTTATTATTTTTAATTAAATGATTTATTTTGAATGAATAAATCCTTTAATTTTTGCTATGTTTAAATAATTTATTTTATAATTTTTTATTTTACTGTTTCTATAAAATATAAATGTTATACTCAGTAAAAACGTTTATGATAAGTGAAAAATCAAAATGACAAGTGGTGGAAGCGGCGTAGCGCACCGTAATGGCCAAAATGCTGAAGGCCCTGCTTAGAAATTTTCCCCATACAACGGTCGCCTGATTTAAAAATGAAGGAGAGTTTCCACGAGTACAAGTTATGCGGCATAATTAAAGCACAGTAAATTTTGGCACTTAAAAACGTATTTTCGGGCAATGGGAAATCATTCTATCACTTGATCATATTACATTATCATGGTGACAATTCTTCGGCAAAACTGCGTGATTGTAGTAACGTGTACTGACAACCCCAGCCTAATGTAGGGGGATTTACTGTCACTTACAGCGTAATTTAACTGGTACTTCGTCACGTTAGTCGCACTTTCCGAATCCGTTGTTTTGGTGGTGATAACGGTAACGTTTGGCTTACTGCAGTCTTTATCAATCAATTCCTTAAACTTTTCAAACTGAAATTTCCATTTACTGGGATCGCTCGGCACTGTAAGGTACAAGCATGGTAATTATTATGATTCCAGCTAAAGTTAATTATAATCATTATTTTAATGCATAAATTATATTATTTACTATCAACAACAACAGACTCCGCAACAAACTAAATGAAAGCTTTCCCCATCTTCTGATGAAAGTATTACCTTATAAGAATATTCCATCAGCGGGAACTCTGGCAAGTCAGATTGATTAGCGGTACAATTTTTAGAATCCTTTTTACTGCAAACTGTAGATGTTAAAGCGTTGGGTACGATACCGAAAACAACAACAAGAATTGTCAACGATAACATGATTGGCTACCATGGCAAAATGCTAGAACGTATCAACATTGTGTGAAAATAATAACGGGCAATGTTGAATTTGTACAGCGTTTGCGTTGGGCTTGGCTTAAATACAGGTACAGTCACTTTGGCTGCAATAGGCGTACCGAGAATCTGGAATTGGGAGCCTTTCAAGAGGTAATCAGCATGATTTGCCTAAATTCCGCTCATTTTTTCCAGCTTTCTGGCCGGTTTCTTGTAACTTTGCACTTCAAATTTTCTCATGTAAACAACTGACACGAACAGTATGTCCACTTCACGTTGGTTTATTTGCTTAATCATCGCATTTTCGGGCCGTTGCTGCCCACACTTTCTTGTGGCAGTGGGTTCTTTTTCTTAAAACTTTGTGTTTGTAGTTTTTATAAATAGTTATTTATGTCTTTTTTTATTTTGCGGCTATGAAGTCTGTAGTCTCTCTCCCAGAACTGTAAAGACCGTCTAATTACTGGTTTATAAACTGCCGAATCATCTGTTACTCGTAATTACATACGTTCATAATAGAGATCATACTCGTACTTTGTATCGAAAGTCAATGAACATTATACGGTAGCGGTTCTGCTAGCGCATCACCGGAATATATATTAAAAGATATTTTCCGTCGGTTTGACTGTATTTCAGTGAAGAACTGATTGCGAATCTGTAGTCCCTGCCGTCCAGCCACATCCTACACGACACGATGTTCAGACCGTACCCCTGTAATCATCAAATAATAAATAAACGAAATGCCTGAAATTGATGCGAAACAATCGACGGTGACTCGACCCGTTCCCTGAATGGCCGGAAGTGAAAATGTAAAATAGCAAACATGCAGAAAATTCGCGCAGTGCATGAGGCTTCTTCGAATAAAATATCGGAGCTGGAGTACAGTACTAGTACTGTTTACGGCATTCGGCAAGATTTAAGAAGCAGGAACCAAGACGAGATTTCTCTGTAATTCTCCGTTAAATTGTACCGCTTTGCACATGAGAAGATGGCTATGGTTTTCATGGTTTTTGTTGCATAATGCATAAGGTAGCAAAATCGCAGTAAAGCCAGCAGAATCCGCTGATGAGAAAGGATAAGTGCGGGCAAAAAATTCACTTTGTTTACTTTGCAGTTCTGTATGACCAAAAGCTCGACTTCAAACAAATGTGATCACTGCGGAAAAAAATAGCTCAAAAACTCGATAAAAAGATTGCAGATTTCCATATTCATTGAAAAAGCATGCCACACTTTGCGATCACATACATGCATAGGGAATTTTCAAGTGAATAAAAAATATCTTTCTCTACCGGATGGCATTCTTTTTTCTTCAACTTTTTTTAATGAAAGGTAGCTTCTGTCCAGCGCTGGAGTTTATCGTGGGCAGAATCGATTGCTATATGCCTGGTTGAACTTCTGCATAAGTTACTACACCATCACGGTGTATCCAGAGTCCCACAGGTTCTTTACTTCCTCTAGATTTTTACACCGGTCACACTGATCCATGGTAACAGCGGCGGCATGGTCTGTTCTGTTCAAGCACTTGTCCAGTACGGTTATCCCTCGGAGCAGTGTGTATTTCGTAAAAACATTTAATCTGTCAAAGACGCCATAGACCGGCCCCGTCCAGCCGGGAGTAGCACCCCTGTATTCGACGTGGACATGTGGCCAGTCCTTCCACATTAATTTAAACGGAAGAATCACTTCGGGACGGGTTCCACAGACGACCCTTTGCAGGCCCTCCGCCCTTTTGACTGTCAACATCAGCGGCGGCTCGCAGCACGGATGAATGGCCACATTGGGATTACCATGGTCCAAATACGGGTGTTCTGTCAAACAAAGACATGCAAAGTAGAACTGAACTAGTAGACGAATCGTTTTCACATATAGCGCGCAAGCATGCGCTTCTCTGTGCGATCCAAGAGCCGGTGATTTGCGCAGCGAATGTGTCCCAGTTGTACCCTGTCCGTTGATTGCTACTTTTATTAGTATTATCGAATTCTTCTAGTGCGGACCGACTGGTTGACCTTCACATAATCACATTCCTTTTCCTTTCATAGTGCAATGTTCAAAGAACATTCCGCACTGTACAAGCTTGTCCGGTAATTTCTGACGAATCAATACAGTGAATTACATAAATTTGCGTGTTACGCCAAACTTCACACTACGGCGCGCCACGCCACACTGTTTAAACACGTAACTTGCATTTGGCTGGCAGGTGGCTGGGTACACTCCATTTAACTGTATGAGAAGAATAGTGACTGCCTGACGGAAGGTGGCTAGAAAATGGTCGGTGCAGTAAACGACAATCTGACTGCGGAGCGCATTTAGGAAATTTGATAAACATAGTGAAGTGGCCACCGTAATAAGCGCAAACTTCGCGCTAGCTGTACCTTTACGTAGGAAACTACCGGACAAGCTTGTACAGGCAATTGACCAACGTAATACAGTTTTTAGTTAAGCCAGAAATTATTTTCGTAACCCGGCAGAATTAGTTTTTTAAATAGATGTCTACTCAGAAAAACGATTGTAAACAACGGTGTTTCTGTGACTTCCTCAAGCGTAACGCTTTGTATAAACAACAAATCATTCGGCTCCGCTGCAGTATGATATGACAACAGGCAATAATTATTTATGCCTTGAATTACATAAATTAATCCAAGAAAAGAAAATTTATCTTACGCGAAACGTGAGTTGAGTCACCATAACCATCTTCCATATCCAAATCGTACTTCCACCGAGAAGACTCGGCTGTTGGAGAGTTCTCGATCTCGATAAGCTCCATATTGGTCATTTCAGCATACAGATGTGTGCAAGCCTTCCAGAATCGGCTCAGAGAGAACATATCGTATTGGCACATCACTTCGCTGTATAACGTCTTGCAACACATGCAACCATTTCCCGGTACGCAGTCCGGCCCACGCGGTGGTTCGTAGCAATACGACCAGGGCCGGCGACACTGAATGACAAAAACAAGGAAAAACGTGATCACTTCAGCTTTAAGCCACAATATTATGATACCAGCAAGTGTGTCGCAGTACTTCTTAAATAGCTCGATTCATGACGCGAAATTACTACGAGGATCGCTGTGCTCCGTGAGCAAAATTCGAACGACTGAACAATCCGCAATGATACGGTAGCGATACCAAAACGCTTTATTTTTTTTAGTAAAGAAGTCATGCTACCCGTAACTTGCCAATTGATAAGCTTATTTATTTATTGTTGTTATTGACTACTTCACATAGTGTAGTACATTTGATATAATATGGTATAGTACACAGTAGCGTATAGTACAATTTCTTTTATTTTTATTTACATTTCATATTTCGATTATTCGGATTAATTGACTCGTTCACTAGCCTGAGAAAACGTTTTGTGCAGGGAAACCCGCCTGTCGAGACACGGCGAATTAACATCAGCAATAAGATTAAACACTAAGCGTGCACCTACTCTGTAATATAAGCTAACAGGTATCTGCTCTCTCGAGATTTTGTAGAAAACACGAGGGTGGCGACCCTCGTAAACGTCGGGACACTTCCGGAGGCGTGAGTATTTTTTGCAAATTTTTAACTCTTTTACAAATCTCAACTCTTTTTTTGCCACAGTTTCAGCAAGGCAGCTATGTCCAATCCCATTGCCCTGCCTTCTTCCACATAACATGCATCTCCCTTGCATTAGCGTTTCTGTACAGAACACAGAATTTCATTTCTGTCTGTCCAGTGTTAACATTAACAGAACTACGTTTTTGCCTGTCTTGTGTTACAGAATTGCAAGTTTACACATTTTTAGGGCTACTCTCGAAGTCCAACTAGATCTGGTTACGGTGCAGCAGCTCCACCTCATGAGGTGGTTTTGCGAACCGTATTTGTCGGCGTGGACACTGCATGTAGCTACCTGGTGTGGTGAGGCAGCAGGTATCATACTCAGCTACGGTCAGAATTTGAGCCGGCCTTAACAGTTTTCAAGATAGGAAACGACCTGAATCCATGCCTAAAGGCAATATATATGTTAAGACTAGTCTTACATATATATATACGTACGTACAGTATCTTGCTTTAAGAAGTACGCACTGTACAGCGCTACGCCTCCGAAAAAATAGACACTACGATTTACGAGACAAATCTGAAATAAAAGCCGCCACTTCCTTTTTTTTTCTTCATCTCGAAGCCCATCGAAAAATGTTAAAATCTTTCAAAGAAATGGTAAGTTGCAACGCATGTCTAAGATGCTGATAGCATGTCCCGAGGCCGACTTTCTTACATCATCCAAAATACAGTATGTCCAATCAGCGGATCGAATACAAAAATTGTTTATGCTCATGGAAATCAGTCACACCAATTGCATGATAAAATTAAGAGAGATCCGTTGACGGTAGGCTGGTTACTGAGTCACCTTTTCAATGACTGCTCGGAAAAAAACTCGCTCACTCCTGTACATACATAGGAACATCCAAATGACCGACTTAAGTTGAACTTACCGTGTAATGAACTCGGAACCTGGCATTGATCGGATCACCCGATTGGGAGAATCCATCACTGGTTGCATTGAAGATCAGCCGACTGCACTGTGCGTCAGATATCTTGTGAAAATCTTCAAATAAGGCGTGCGGTGGCCAAGCAAGTCCTGGACACTGTAAAGAAAATGGTAAAAAAAATGGTAAAAAAGCTTAACTGGCGCACTACTGTCAGGGATTCACGGGAGACGATAATGTTGTAGTTTGAAACTTTGAATAGAACTGTTAGAAAACTAAATTTTTTAAATCATTTCTAAACGAACTGATTTGACATGAAACGAAATTCGAAAGTAAAAACTGAGTTTTCTTTTCCGGATAATGTTTCTGCCATTGACAGAAAATTAAATAAAAATCACTTACGACTGACATAATATTATTGTTATTTTCAACAATTATTCCATTGTGGTTGAGCTGGAGCTTAAAGTGATCAATTTCCCCACAAATAATCCCCCATATGTAAAGTACACTAACTCTGCAGAAAATAAATCCTTCGTTTCGAATCCTTTAAGATGGGTTTAATCTTAAAATGGTTTGATGTGCAGCCTTAAAAATGCAACGCTTGAAATGTAATTACCGCCACTTACTTCAAGCGCGTATTGGAAGGGCCGATAAGGATCACCATCAGAGTGTGTAGCACCCGCTATCCAGCTGGGCGGCGGCAAGCCGTTGTTGGTTGTATCTACTGCTGTACAGGACTCCCAGAATCGGCTCAGACGGTACGTATCATACTGGCAGTAGGCTTCTCTGTAGTCGTTCAGACAGCAGGAGCAACCGCCTTCAGGGGTACACTGAACGGCCAGCCGCTTACGTGTGCAGTGTTCAGGGAACGTTCCTCGCGCTCCAAACACTGGCACCCAGGGTCGCAAGCACTATGAAACCAGGACGATAATATAATAATTCTGCTACAATATCTCTAAACCATATTCAGCGTTTCATTAGAATTCTCCATGCCGCATAGGTTGGTGATGCTAAGTGATTTATGCACTTACGACTGCAGTAAGCAAAACCGATTACACCGAATCACAAAATTTAATGCAGTAGACGGGACGATCACATAGTAACCTATGCAAGTACAAAAGCAGCAGCAGTAGAAAATTCATGTTAGACGCAAAATGTACTGCGGTTGAAATAACGCGCGACAGCACTGTACAGTGTACAAGTCAATGTAGAAACTGAGCATACCTAAATGCAGCAAAATTTAAAAATAAATCCACGATCTACGCCAGAATTTATACTACGGCACGATATGCCACACTTTTAACGACGCAATATGCATCTGCCATGGCTGGCCGTAGGTGCACGAATGAGATTATGATAGGAATAACACTATTCGCCTGACGGATGATGGCTAGATAAAAGCCGGTATAGTAAGTGACGATATAAGCGGTGTACCGCGGTTTGCTGTGCATTAAAAATTCACCTTCAACAAGTGCAGTGGACATCAATCTAAGCGCATATATCGCTGTACCTGCACCTTTACAATTTAAATGCTCGATCACTCACCCGGCTTGTTAAATATAATTTGGTAAACTTACAGAATATTCTAAGTGGTACACCGGCACAATGTCCGCACTTCCAGATTTCATTACTCTTTTGGTGATTACGGTAACGTTCTGGTAACTGCTGCAGTCTGTGATAGTTGCTGCTGCACTTGGTGAATCAATTTCCTTTATCTTTTTATACAGGTCCTCCCATTTAGTGACATTAGGAGCATCACCCCAGCACTGCAAGGCACAAACATCGTACTAGAATTTGAAGTAAAAGTATATTATCGCATTTCAATGTCAAGTACTTTTTTATTTAGTATATGAACCAGAACACGTGCAGTTTAATACCAACAAGCGAAATAACAATTCGCCCCATTGTGTTATGCTTGTATTACCTCGAAAACGTAGTCCATCATTGGCAAGTCAGAAGAGTTTTCGGGGCATTCGGAAGGAGGGAAACCAATCTGCCTGCAAACTGATGCCGTCAAAGCGATGGGCACCACACCAAAAACAGTGAGAAGCGTTGTTAACGATAACATGATTCGGTACCAACAAAGCACTAATAAAGTGTATCAACAGTTTTTGAAACAGAGTCATTAGAGATAGTTTAAGGCAGCTGCTTTAATTTGGACAGTGGGTTCCGCTGTTTAACTTGGCTTAAATATGTAAAGTTTCCGCCTTCCTTTGGTATAACGCGAAATTTGGATAAGGATGCATCTGGAGTGGTAATCAGCATGTTTTGCCCAAATTTGCTCACCGTTTCCTGGTCTCTAGCTAGTTTCTTGTAACATTGCACTTCAAATATGCCTACGTAATCTAACGACACAAATATTATGCCCACTTCAAATAGGTGAATTTGTTTTATCATCGTGTTTCCAGGCGCTGGATGGCCGCGCTTTCTCTGTTCTTGATCCTTTTTTAAACAAATTATGCTTGCGTCCTTCAGACTAATTTTGTTATGCTTTCTCCGTAATGAATTACGGCTATCAAGACGGATAAAGACTGAAAGTTTTTCGTAAATTACAAAGGCCAGGAACTTATGATTTCAAAATTTCGTAAATCTGTTGAACTTCTAAATCATTTGCTCGTTGTAATTACATATTGCACGGTGTAAAAAAATGTAGAAAATTATATAAAAACGGCTATTTGAGTGCATCGCAAGAAAACCTGTAAAAACATTTTCCGTAGTTTTAGAATCGCTACAGTTTTTAAACTATCCGAGCCACTCTTGCTTTATTTGGTGAAAACGTGCCGGCATAATCTTACATGTTAGTTGCAAAAGAAACAAGTTATTCTCGATTCGAGACCCTCATTACAACAATGACTAAGAGTTGCTGTTACGAAACTTACAATCAAACTTTACTGATGAATTCTTGTTTTTGTTTCTCATCAGATGCGTATTATCTAAAATACGCACTGCCTGCAAGCGGATTGCACTTAGTTGAACATGTTGGCTTGAAAATAACCCCCAGGAATATCAAAGGAAACGATAGCGTAATTTATGTTCATGGAGTTTTATTATTATTTGGTGAAAACTAGCAACCGATGGAAATACTTAAACTATTAATTCTGTAACCGGCTGATTCGCAACGCTCGTGTCGTTAGGTGCCAGTCGTGAAATAGCTCGATAGCGATGATTCTGCAGCAGTTCCTCGTGCAGCACTTGAAGGGCGGTTAGGTGTACTTTCATCACCGTCGTGCCTTCCTTGATGAGATTGCGTGCTGGATTTGCATCCGTACATTTGCGTCATTTATTTGAGGCTTCCATGAACGAGCCACAGCTCTTCAACAGCAACACAGACTACTCGATTATCTTCCGCAAACCATCCAACAGGCCACTTCCATCAGCCAGGTCCACAGTTAGGCCGCACGTTTCCAGCTGCAAAAATCGGCGACGACATTCTGGTTCAGTGAGGTACTTATCCAGCTCATACAAAGGTCTTGTAGCCTCGCTTTGCTTATTGGTGATGACTGCGGCAAAGTCTGCGAGAACCCTTAGCCACTGTAACATTTTTCGCATGGAGCCTTTGCGGTCTTGCCGTGAACCGTGCAACCACTAATTTAACTGGGATACATCACACGATGACCTTTCTAATGCTGCAGTTCTCACGGATCATAAACCAGAGTCCCGGACGCATGTGCCGGTTGCAGAAAAGAGATAGATAAATGCAGCAGAGTTTGACATACTAATTGGTGCGATAAATGATCAGCTACGAAGTTAACGGTTCTGTGTTTTTTTTCTGGTTTTGATTTTTGTACTGATGCGCAAAAACTGTCCCTTAAGCGACGCTTTGCGGATGCTCTGTCACATGTCAACAATATCACACATAAAGTTAATTATTGGCCGGACATATGAAAACATAAGTTTTATTTGTGCGTTCTAGGGATACTGTTCGGATGGGCATCCGTACTGTTGCTTCTCAGAACTTTTTCGATGCGCTGAAGAATCTGCTCCAGTGATAAATGCAAATAACTAATTTTTTGTAAATCTGCGCGGTTGTCCGTACTCCGGAATCGCTGCAAAAAAACGCATGTATGTCAAGCATTTATTTTGAAAAGTTAATAACTGCGATCGCCCACTTTGTCGATATACACAAGCAGCGATCGGTAGCTCTTCAGGGCTTCCTCTCCGGATCGCAGGATCTCTTTCTGCACTTCAGGTTTCCAGTGGGGATTCACTGCGGCTTCTTGGCACGCGGTTAATAACCGCCTCGCGCCGGTCCCTCCAAAGAACGCTACGTCATCCTGAAAACATTAAAACCCGTTATTATGCAGCGTTGCCCTTAATGACGTTCTGGAAGAAACCCTACCATGTTCGCTGATTTCCCGGCGGCGACCGCTTCCTTTACATGACCACGGAAAGTGGCAATCTCCTTCAACAGCAGCTCAACGGCGAACTCTCGACTAGGTGCAACGTTCGTACCGTTTGACGCTCGAAATTTTCGCAAGGTCTCGTCAACCTCCGTCAAAGCCTCTCGAATCTGTGGCATCGTGATCTCATCTATATCGATCACGCTTTCGTCAACCGAAGTGATGGAATTTCTGGCGCTGTTGTTTGCTGTTTCGGAAGTGCTTGCGCTTCGTACGTTTCTGGCGTAAGGTTTGAAGACCTCTTTTGGTAGTTTTTTTATCATCTTGTGCCACGGAGAATTTGCGAATATTTCTGCGGCAGTTCGCTATGGGAACCCATATTAGGTGAATCATGTAAACGCAAAAATATTTGGCTGTTTTCTTACTGGTTGGTTTGCTGCATTATCCTCTCTCTGCGCCGGTTTATGTATAATCCGGTAGCCATTCTTCCGCAACAGTTTCTCATGTAGCGCTTGTAGAGCGGACAGCTGCGCTTCTTTCATCACTTTCGTGTGTTCTCTAATGACATCACGAATTGTTTTGATATCACTGCCCTTATGACACGCGTCGACGAACAAGCCGCACTGCTCCAGTAAAAACGCCGACTGATCGAGGATTCTCCACAAACAGTCTAGGAAGTGACGTGAATCTTCCGGCTTCACCGCCAGGGACGCACAGCCGCACGTCTCCAACTGGAGGAAGCGGCGATGGCTGTCCAGTTCGATGAGGTACTTCCCCAGCGTGTGCAGCGTTCCGGTGGTCCCCAGCTTGTCCTTGGTGACAGCAACGGCTATGTTGTCGAGAGCCGTTTTGAACTGTAGCAGTGAAAACCAAACGTCTTAAATTTCGTAAGAGATTTTTAGGTTTTCTTATTCCCAGGTCTCTAGGTTTCTTCAAAGTGCTTCTTACGGTTCTTAAGGTTTTTAAGTTTTTCCGCTTTGTGAAATTTTTTAGTTTCTGATGGTTTGTTAGGCTTTCCGATTACAAAAAGCTTTTTTGGTGTCTGAAATTTTCTTGAAGTTCTGTTGGTTTGTACCTGTGAGACGTCAAAAAGAACGACCGAGAACTCGGCCAACGGTCGCGCTGGGTCCGCCAGGGCAGTTAGGCGGGACCATTCCTTATTAAGCATTCTGTTTACGTCGAACATCAGGTCGCTGCGGTCCATCACGCCTGGCACGTTGCTCTGGAAGGCCTCCCACAGTCCTTTAACAACCTTCACGACGTCCTGCTGCACAGCAGGAAGAGCTTTTCCGTGTTTTAGCATCCGCTTCGGGTCCTTATGTCTGTGCTTGACAGTTAGTTGGGCGGCGTGATACAGAAACTTCTGCAGAGATTCTCGTATGTCCAACATTTTATCGGACAATACGGTCTGGGATTCTTCCTGACGACAGGACTGGACATCGCAACCCATAATGGTGTTTGTAGCGAAGTATTTGCCTACAAACAAATTGGTTATCGCATTAAAACGCAGAATGAACATTTCTCCCAGAAATTCGATGCTTCTTAAAAACTGAAATACAGCATTGTAAGAAGCAGTATTATCTGATTAACGCAGTATGAAGACCTGCTGTTGTTGTTATTCTTGGCTGTTGTTAAAGAAAATTGCAATGCTGCGGGTATTTTGGCCACTTCCAATATGTGTCATAAAATGTCGGGCGGTGCTAACAGTGTTGATTCTTTTTTAAAGCCTAAGTTTGAATCATTTCAAGTGGTAGAACGACCCCTTTGCGCCCTTTGGCCAAATTAACAGCTTTTGCCCAATAATTCATATATATAGGAAGACGTATCGTATCGCCTTTTTTTAAGAATAATTTTATGCAGCTTTGTAAACAGCAGTAATATGAAATGAGCCTTTTGCGAAGACGGTGCTGTACTCGCGTTGATTTTAAACCAATTCCTTACACGAACCACTCACTACTGTATATGCGGGTAAATTCGGTGTTTTAAGTGTAGGTGCAATTAGGGTATTGGTTATCAGGCACGTTACCAATTCTTTGCGCGACTTTCTGCAATTTCTGAGCATCTTCCTGCATGGCACCATAATCCGGTGCAGCGGAATTCAAGCTGTCCAGCAGAGCGCCACCTGTTTGCACGACATCCTCCGCGTAGCGTGATAGCCGCTCTAATGTCGTCAGTGTGGCGGCTTCCAGGGACGCTTGTCGGCAGTGATTGTACGACAAGAGGACGCCTTTCATAATACGATCGATGTCTTTAGGCGGAAATGCTTCCTACGGAATGCAAGCAAAATTAAACTTTATCGGCATTTGAAACGTACAATACAGAAAGCATCAAGTGAACAGTACGCACGCCATCTGTGGGCGGACTCTTGCTAATACGCTGACAGCATTTCTGCATCTTCCGCAAAGCACAGATCAGCTGTTCGGAGGACTGATAATTAAATAACTGCAGTGCCTTGAAAAGGTCCAACTGCGCGATGCGGGCAATACAGCGTTTCGAATGGTCGATGAGATCTAGCGTGGCTTCCGGGAGTTCCGAGTAGTCATTACTCAGCTCTTCCGGGTCGCGATCCTTTAGGTGCTTTACAATTAAATCCACGCGATCGGTTAGAGCCTGTCGTAATGCCGAATAATAAGCAAATATGTCAAATAAAAGTCAAATAAGCATTTCTTTCAAATACCGTAAACCGAACAGAAGTCACACGAAAACGCAGATAACGCAAATACGGTAAATTACGTACTCGGCATTTTTCCTGCAGTTGTGCCATAAGTTCGGCATGTGTGTCCTTGCGGTCTTTCGTATTGAGCAACAACTGGTCCACATTCATCTGCGCAATACGTTTTGCGGCGTTCGTGCATTCCCTTTGCGCATTGTACCAAGCCTACAGTAAAACATTGCGACAGTGTACTTGCGTTTATGTTCACGCAATCCACTACGCCGGATATTTAATACGTAGAAAAGAGTTCAAGGACTGTCGGCGTAGAAGACATTGCGTTGTAGGCGTAATGCGAGTTTATTTCCAAAGTTTTTGCCTGTCGAATAATCCTTACCTTGCCGGAGAGTGACCACTTGGTTGCCAGCTTCACCGTGTACACGATGACCTATACAAACCAAAACTTTTTTAAAGCTGGAATGTCGTGATGCGGTGGCGGTAAGCAGTCGCGCCGAATCGAAATGTATTAGCCTTACCTTCAGAAGGATCACCCCAAAGATCACAATTAACATGATGGGAAATTTGGTGTGTCGGTACTCCGTGACAGCTTTGACGCAGCCCTGTATACAGAGTTCCCGCATTGCACATCATCAACGAGACGCTGAACGCAACAAGACATGGACGTACGTGCTGGAATTTGGTCGATTGCGAGTTGCGGTATGCATCGAAATAGCAGTTCCTATCCGCGAGAGTGCGGCTAACCGGATCCTTATAGCGGCAGCAGAAGACCGGCGGCGGGAACAACGGGAAGGTATCTCCATAGTACAACGAACCGTACAGGTCTTCGTAGCCGAATTCGGTTCCACAACAATCCAGCTGTACACGCACACTATTGATATTTCGAAATACTTTAATAATTCAATATTTTCTGATAGGTTCATGGTTCATATAAAAAAAATTATTTACTGGACTTATATATCTGAATGACCACATGACACATGTACAGAGTACAACAGAATGATTTTATCATTTAGCCAGGATTATGCCTGCATACCATCATTTGAAGAGCATTCAAAATTATGGTTTTCCGTAGCGTAAACTCTGGTATGGCTTCCATAGTGGCGTTAGAGCGTGCCGGTAGGATGATCACCGCGTCGTCTCCGGTCAGTTCCGTGGGTTGGTATGCGTAGTGGTCCTTTAACGCGGCTAACTCCCGCGAGGGCTGCTTATCATCCATCTTCTGTAGGAGTAAAAAGCCGCATGCTGCTTCAGCCACAAGAACGCCGACGATGAAGACGACTGCCTAAAGTCGACATGTAAGGTGACAATTTTACAATCTGCTGGATGGGAACGCAATATGCTCACCAGCAGGGTGCAGGTCTTCGGGTGTGTTTCCAACAATTTCTTCTTGTAAGCGACAAAACTGGCAACACCGAAGAAGACGCTAACTACTCCGGCTACAATCAGTGCATATCCGATATGGCTGCATTCGTCCAAGAAGCGGACATACAGATCCTCCGTGTATCCACTCTGCGCCGCCAACGGGTAAGCAATGTTGTAGAACTGCTGCACTTCGATCTGAAACAACCAGTTTACGCTGGCGAATGGCGGTTTGGCGCAGACTGCTCTCAGCGCCGACAACCGCAGTTTATAACAAAAAAACTTTTTCTTCACAACGAAACGCAACAAAACATAAAAACCTTTTCTCCACCAGGATCCACAAAATTTCCAGTAAGTTCATTTGAGATTTATCAAACTTAATAAAGAAAAAAGCATTTATTGATTGGTCTATGCGTATCCTTAGGCCATACACATCGTACTGTACTCTAATCCAGTGGCTTCGTAAAATGATTCGTTTTCGATGTTTTTGTGCATCTAGATAATTTGTTTATATACAGTACAGTACATCCGTAAAAACTGCTCATGCAAACAAAATCGGTTGTAACAGAAAATTTAAAATGTACAAAAAAGTTAAAACCCGTCGGTTGGCACCAAACGTTTCGGGTACTCGGTACTATAACCCGACCTTTTTACAGCTTTGCTGTTACAGCACACTGGTACCGTATTGGAATGAATAACGATTTGGACGGTCGATCTTTGGTGGGCAACGCTGACAAGAAATAATTTCACTTCAAAGTATTTTTCTCGGAACCCCGCAGGAATTTAGATAGAGTTCGTAAAACTTGCAAATAGATTATTGCGGATCCGTTAACAAATTATCGATAAATTTATTGGAATTACTCGTACATCTTCAGAGTTTTACAGATCACTAGATTCAGCGGTACTTACCACAATAAAACATCCAACGATGAACGTGCCAATCGACAAAAAACTGCTGCATATCGCCACGTAGCGCCATACACGGAGAAATTTTTCCCGTTTTCCCTCTGTCGATTGCAGTGTTTCGTCGGGAAATTTTGGTGTGTCCTCGGACAGAAATTTTTCTGTTTCCTCGTCAGCCATCGCGATCAGACGCTGTACTATCAACGATAAACGTTACCACACCTTTCACTGCAATATGCCGATCATACCGGCTGCTGTCTGCTTATGTATCGCTACACGATACTGAAAAGTTATCGCCTGCAGGCAATATAACGGCTTGTTGCGTGAAACAACGGCATACGCATTCTTATGTCCGGTTCTTAGGGACAATGACAACCGGTTTTCATTAATTACGATGTACGCTTTCCGGGCTCATCCGGGCTGTGTCAAAATTACATTTTGCTTCAAGCTAAATGGATTACTGATTATTTACCTCACTGGAACTAGACACGCCCCGTTATTTGACTGATTGCGCGGTTCAATGCTTTGGACTCATTCAGTAAAATATAATTTAGGGTACAAAGCGTCACGAACCGTATACAATTGAATAAACAAATTGACATGCTGTTTGTACGGTGACTGGCCAGCGACAAACAAACGCCGGTTGCACGGATCGTTGAACGGTATACAGTATTTTACATATGATGCTCTCACCTGTATTATTAGCGCATCCAGCGCGCTGCTACGTGAACCGCAACTGAAGAATAAAATTAGCTGTTGCGTTTCCCACGTGCTTGTTCCAACATTATTTTACTGTGCTGATTTTTTACCGTGATACTGTGTACTTTGCTCTGGAATAGGCTGTCTCAGTCGTTATAATATTTACTTGTCGAAATTTGTCTTTTTTGTTTGCAGGAAAATACAGTATATGTGGCTATTGAGTACTTTTCTGCAGTGTCATAATTATAGCACAAGCGTTAGTGATGCAAAGTATATCGAAGTACATATATGCGGTGTAAGCAGATTGAATATGCTTGCAACTGCGCTATTGACCGTACCATCAATTGTCAACGCAAATCCAAATTGGAAAATTTACCTATTACGTCACGTCACTTGGAATGTTGATTTCTTAGTGACCTACAGACGGTACGGTGTACACCTGCTGGACCATTTTACCACATCACCACCAACCAATATAAAATCAGTCCATTTTTATGTGAATCCGTCAATCAAATTTGTAATGATACGGATACAAAATTGATCACGTAAAACCTTTGATAGGGGAGTACAGAATATTCTCATAGTTTCCACTGTATTCCCTGAGTACTGGTTGACTTTTAGCTGAATGAAAAATATTGTGAGCGATGTTATTCGAAATCCTCTTTGGAATGGCAAAGAGAAACAAAGCTCCGTTTCGCATTCAACACCGGGACGATGGCATTCAATCCTCAAACAACAGTAGGATGTCTCGACTAAGCAGAACATGGAATCAAGAAAGCGGGCAGCATGTCTTAACTCAATAGAACTTTTCCAACGCCCGCCTACATCTTCCACGGTAGCTTGTTGTCCCTTTTCACAACAATATGACGCGGTTAAGGAGCGAATCCGATGCTCGCAACATCCAGCCATGACAAAATGAGAGGAATAAACACAATAATTATTCTAAGCCTGGCTACCTAAGTTATTGCGTACAGTCGAGGAGTACGATGCGTGTGTTTAGCTGTACCGTGCAGTAATGCACTATATGCATAATGCAGCTGAACGGAACTTAAGAAAATGCCGAGGTAATCCCTGTAATCAATTAACTACATATGCCGGCATCTGGGACATTTATGCACCCTCATCCCTAGTTAATTATTCTCTTCTGAGACTTACTGGCGTGCTCTGTAATTATCCAAGGAAACAACAGTGATGCGTCTGCTGGCTTATCTTCCAGGAAGGAGTTCCTGCTTTGCCACGCAAGCATACTGCCGCAGCTGTTAATCTCACGATGACCGATAAAAACGCAGCAGTTCACATGCAGTCCCTGCGGAAGTAGCGTTCCATTCACCATGGATGTTTCTATCAACATAACGATATTGAGTTTTATGGTCAACAGTCGGAACTTCTTCCCCGGGATTCCATACACCGCGCCGGCCTTTCAGGTGGCCGTCGATGAAGTCAACGCCGACGGGCGGATTAACATGACGCTGGTGTTGTTGACGCGGACGGATTTGGTGGCCTGTGAGGATCTGATTAAGAACTGGTATATGGTACCTGAATATTATTACACGAAATGGAGCGGAAAAGGAACGTTGGTTTTGTCGCTTAGCGGTAAGCTTGTTGCTGTCGTATTTTTGGAAAAAAGAGGCCAATTTAAAAAGTTCCAAACGGCTTTTTTTTTCAGTTTTCGCCAAAAATTATTAGTAAGGCAGTAAACGTGATTTTTTATTTTGTTTGACACTTACCAAAATTCGGTCTTCTGTTTTTTCACTGCCAACGAAAAATAGTTATTTCTATAATTGAGGAAGAATTTTGAAGAACCATTTTCCTGAATATTCTTCGATAGTTTTGTGAACAATTTATTTATTTCTCCTCATCTTCTTTTCTGTTTATTTTATTCTAATTTATGTTTAATTTATTTTGAGGCATGCTTAAATTTTTCTTTTTCTGCATTGATTATAGGTTGCGAGGAAAACGCCGAATTACGAATCCTTGCCCGTGAATGGAATATTCTCTTAGTGTAAGTAACATCCGTTTCTAAAGCTGGTTTCCTGCTTGCCAGTTCTGTTTTCTTAGGGGAACGACACTGAACGGCAACAATCCGCTTCTGTACCCAACCGTAGTGTCGTTCACGCCAGGTGACGCGGTCCCCCTCAGCACCACCTTCGTTTCGCTGTTCGACCATTTCGGTTGGACCAATATCGTGGTACTGCACGACAGCAACGGCGTCCTGAATCCGCTACAAGCCATGTTTCAGGAGAAACTCAAAGTCATTCTCCGGCAGATTTCGCCCGGGAAAGCCAATCAGTATAATTTCCTGTTTCTCCAAGCCAACAGCACCGGTGTGGTTCCTTACGAGGAAATGCTCCTGCGCGTTAAACCCATAAGTCGAAGTACGCACTATCGATTTGGTCCGCTCGCTAATTTAGTTTCGCCAGTTTGATAATATTTTGCTAATTGCAGTTGTGTGCTTACTATTCCCGGCGAAAATCGTCCGAATGTTCTTGGTACAGTCACGTATCTTGTTATTATGGGGGACTCCGGGAAAAGATTATTTTTTTGTTACAGATTGTAGCCGATCGTCTGCAAATGACTAATGCGGAGTACGTAAGTAATGCGTCCACCCTTGCATCAATCTTCTGTTGTACTTGTAGCTTTTGTTTGCTGTTTTATCAGGTGTATATTATGGGAGAACCGTTCAGGAGCGTGCGTCGTTGGGGCATCTTGACGCCCACCCTGGGCGACGGCTACGACATGGTATGCGCGCTCATCATCTTAACGCTAACTGTCTGTAATCACGCGGATAGTGATAGTTAATTAATTGTGCTTTCCGGCGCATGTAGATTGCCAGAAATGCATTCCCATCGCTGTTGCAAATTACCGGCGATTGTGAAAACGGCACGAACAGGGATATGCTGGCTGTCATGCGGCTGATCCGGGAGCGGGGAGTTGCGCGCTATAATGCTCTCTACGACGCAGAGGAAGAAGTATGATGGAAGCTTGTATCCGTGTACTGTTCAACAGAAAGAATCACTAATTGATGCTTTTTGCATAAACAGCCAAACCCAATGACGATGGCCGCGTATTTCGCGGTGAAGTCCTTAGCACAGGTAAAAGCTGTGTTTGCTGTAATGATCACTTGGAGTCCAGACCATTCTCTATGGTTGTTGAGTAAAACATATACAGTATCAGAAATTATTACATAATATTATTCCGGACAAGGTTTTCCTGGAAAATATGCCGAATGACGGTGGAGCGTATTCGGGTAAGCAGATGGCCGCAAAATTCTACAACCGAACATTTCGGTTTCCGGGAACAACGGTCTATATTGGGAACGATGGAATGCGGCGGACGCCGTACTGCACTAAGGCATATAATGCTTCGACTGAATCCTTTCAGGTGAAAACTCAGTTATGACTTTATGAAAAATTAGCACCTTCCGTTCCTCGGAAAAATTACCGCGTTTGCTTAGGTCGTGTCCAAGCATTACGGTCTGCAGATGGCGCTCGTGGCTAATCGCAGCTTTACGTGGCGGATGTCGGATAATCGCCCACCAAGCAATGTTCCCGCGTGTGGATATTCCGGAGATGCCGGCATCTGTTTGGGTAAAGCAGGGTTCATCTGTAATTATCCTGAATTTACTGACAATGTAGCGATGCAGAGGAAGTGAAATCCAAACGCAATCTGCTGATGCTCGTCATACTGGCTCTTGGTGGATTACTACTTTTACTCGTTATCCGAATTTGGTAACAGTTCCATGCTTTATGCTCTAGTCCGCTGTACTCCGGTGTTGCGATGGGGTAGAAACGCTTTTGATGTAGGCAGATACGGAAACGAGCGTTCTTAAATCGTAACTGGTGGCATCTGGATAGCGCTGCGGTTACTTGTCAACTCTACGGCGTCGCAACGGTACGAAAATCATAAATAACCACTACTGAAATGAAATCTGTTTATTTATTACAATCTGCTTATCTGCGCATTTCATTATCAGCTTATTTATTGCAAGCTGCTTTTCTGCTGCTTGCTTATTTCTCAATACTTATGTACATACACATCATACTCTGGAGGAACGAAGCGCTTGCCTATCTTGCAGCACACCATCTCCAAAATCGTTGCGTGGAATTCGCTGGAATTCGTACCCCTAGGAGCGAGCGAAGTAGTAAAGGTGCGCTGGAATAGGCGCCGTTAAGATAAACTACAAACGAGTAGTTTTATATAGTGCACTGACAGTCAATGATTTCTTTGCAGAATGCCGAGCACGAACAATACGGACGCAGTGGACTGATGACAATGCAGTCCAGCCAACGACGCGCATATTTTTGCAAAGGTCAGCAGGTGGCTGTCAAAGAAATCCCCGCTTTACGGCCGGTGGCGCGCGATACGCTTGCACAACAGCGTTTGCATCAGGTTACATACAGTAAACGCTCGGATGCTTGGTTTCTTAAAAGGTTTTGTCCAATGTTAAAATATGACTATAGGCCTGAAGTTTTTTTGCAGCTGCGATCGGTAAAATCTGAGAACCTGGTGCGCACGATCGGTATCTTGGATGGGAAAGCATCATGGATCTTTGTGACGGAATTTATGCCGCGAGGAACTATGGCTTTCTTCATGGAAAAAAGCAGTGTCGATACCGAGTTGCGGCTAACACTGCTGTACGACCTTTTGAAGGCAAGAGGAACCTTTTCATCGATAACCTTTTTATAATTTAACTGTTTAAAAAATAGGGTGTGTCGGCTATCCATGCCTCGCCATTTCTCCGTCACGGTTACTTATCACCAAACGCTTGCTTTATTGACCGGCATTTTACGCTCAAGCTAGAATGCGGGTTATACGATATTACGAAGAACTCAGCTAATTTCGAGCACTCCCCGGCCGAAACTACGACCAGCCGCTTTATTGCGCCGGAGCTCGTTGATTACTTGTTGCTGTGTCGCGTTTCGTGGATGTTAACGAAGCACGCATTACCGCACCACGATATGTACGCAATCGGTGGATTAATTCACTGGACGCTAGATTTTCCGCAGAATGTGAAACCGCCGCTGACCGAGTTGGTGATGGTGGACAGACTAAGGGCGCTGGCTACGCTGTGCCAGAGCGTCGACGGTAGCGAACGTCCCCGGATCGGCGAAGTGGTTCCCGTGTATAGAGATATCACGCTGGTTCAGGATGAAAAACTGATAGAAACACTGCTGAAGAAGATGGAAACGTACAACGGGAAGTTGGAGCAGATTGTGCATGAACGGACACTGGAGCTGCGCCGTGAGCAGGCGCTGAGTATGGAGCTCCTTCGCGAAATGCTACCAAAGTAGGAAGCATAAATTTTTTTAATAATGGGGTAATTTTATGGTAGTACTAGTGCTTTTTCTACCAATGGAGACGAAACAATTAAGTATTTTTTGATAAATATTTCTTTAGTAAAAAAATAAATAACATGATACAATTAAGAATTTCAAACGTTTAATAAACAAATTAAAACCGTCAAAAATGAATAAATGAATGAAGACAAACATGTGAATAAGTAAAAAAAATGAACCAATGAAAGAAGACAAATAAATAAGTAAAAGTGAATACACCCTTCTATGCATCTGATACGTACAACATTATTACTGAGTTATATTACTTCAGCTTTTTGATCGACCGAAACTTAACAAAACGAAAAAAACGTAGTAAGAAAATGACAACTGAAGGTAATAAAAAAAACTTTCAGAAAACAAAAACGAAAAAATATGTAAACTAACACTGTTGAAAATAAACAACATGACCGAAAATTAAAACTTTCCGCAAATGCGACCTTACCAGGCTAGAACCAGGAAAACAGAAAAACGGTTACTGGAAATGAAGATCACTCTTCATTACTGATGTGAAGGGTTTTTGTTAGAGTTGTAGTGCAGCAGTTGGTCTGTGGGCTTCCCGTGCAGGCTGAGCTCTTCCAGCGGACTTCGGTATCGTTCGCCATCGTCTGGGGCTTTGCGGAATTCTGTGCGAACGTGTCGCCCGGCGACATTGTACATCTGCTGAACATTATCTTCACCATGTTTGACGGGTGCCTGAAGAATGCCGACGCGTATAAAGTGGAAACGATCAGCGACTGTTACGTGGTGCGTTATAGTTTCTAATTTTCTTTGATTACAGCATAGAAATTCAAGACAACTAAACTCTAAGAAGGCAAAAGGACAGCAACAGTATTATGTATTTGAATTATGATTTTATGCGCAGCGTGATGCTGTACATTGTACACTGTTTCGAAATAGACGGCGAGCGGTCTGCCGACTGCCAATGGGAACCGGCATGCCATGGAAATCTGCCGGTTAGCGTTGGATTTACGCCAGTGCTTCCTGTGCATTCCGCGACTGGACCACGGCAGCGGACTACAGCTGAAAATCGGCGTGCATTCAGGTTTCATTTGTTAACACTCGACCGTTCATCGTTTTAATCATTATTTTACTTGATGAAACCAGATAATAACCTTTTACACAGGACCTTGTGCGGCCGGTGTAGTCGGCAATAAAAGGCCACGATACTGCTTGTACGTTGCCCAGCAAGCACACCGAATACCAGTACTATGTACAATATTGATTAAGCGAAATACAGGTTTGGTACCACCGTTAATGTGGCGTCGAGATTGGCCTACAGTGCCGAGACGCGGAGGATCCAGATCGGCGGAGCTACAGCGCGACACGCCGGCAACTGGCCGACACTACGCGTTATACCGCGCGGGATGACCTTTGTGAGGGTAGGCACTAAGCAGCACGCAGTAGTTTTTGAAGACGACAAAACTATGGCGCGTTCTCATATTCAGTTTCCATACATAGTCGCATAACGAGCAGCTGTGTGGCTTTTGCAGCCTAAAACATTCGCTATTTGTATGGACAAAGGACAATTTTTTCACTTTTTAGCGATAATAAATAAACGCTATGGGCATATTGTCGAAAAAAGGCGATACAGCGGGCACTGCCTCTTTTTGCAGGGCGTGGGCAACATGAAGACCTTTTGGCTGGAGCGTGGCGAGGGCAATCCTTGATTCAGCCCAGGATTTATTGACCACCACCGATTACTGAAGAGCATTGATTTCCTAATCGTTCAAAAACTTGTACAGGAAATCCCACCTTTACCGTGGATTACTAAAAAAAGCGCCGCTCTTGACTACATCCTCTTAGTATCATTCTCTGAACGCTGCTGCAGAGTATAGCTCGATATAACGCACTGAAATTACGTTTCTGGATAAAGTGGGTGTAAACATACGCGTCTGAGATTTCTCCGATCTGCGAATTCTTTCTATGACGGGAAATTTTCACGGAACAGAATTTATATTTTATATTATGTTGTATGTGAATGACAGACGAGAAATTCGATGCACACATAAATAAACCATATTCCCAGCAACACTGCCGATACGAAGTATTGATAAGCCCACTACCACCACATTGCCGGCATCCATTACACGGCAACACTGATGCAGACAGACGCCTGTATCGTGTGAATCAACGACGCCCATACCGAACGTGCCATGTACAATCCAGCACGCATCCTGCCGCTCCATCCACCGGATATCCGCATCAACACTGGATAAACAGTCACTTCGCACGTCGCGCATTCGACAGCAGCCGCATCACAACGGTTATTCCAAGCATTAACGGCAGAGTGATGCGCGGGCGTCCGTTAAGCCACTCAGCATAAAAACTCGGGATTATTTGCCCAATAACTGAATTGTTTCCACCTGCCTCTGTTGACGCTGGTTGCTCGTTCTGTATATATATGCCTCATTTAATAGAACATCATCGCCGGCAACGCCGGCACTGTCGGCGCTTGTGGGACTGCGGCAATGCCTTCTTATTCGAGTAGGTCAATTGTCAATTGCCAGTTTGACAAATATTGCCTGCGTGCGTGTAAAACCGTGTATGTTGGTATATATATTGGCGATGGAAGAGGATAAGGCCAACCGTTGTGTCGTGTTCTGGTGCAGGTACGAGACGCCGCGGCTGGTTACCGTCCGCAGCTGCCGGGTGGGGGTTATCTATCGGATTGTCCAGATGTGTATTGTTGGATATTTGATCGGGTATGTTATTTTCTATTCTTTCGACTACTTCATTAAAATTTCAGCGCCTTAAGACAACTTTACTAAGCGCAGTCACATTTGAGGTCATATTTACACAAGGCAAGATTTGTGTAAATGCTAGAAATGTCTTGGAACACTTAAATTTCTAATTATTCTAGACATAATTTCAAGAGAATAAAACTGTTTTTTTACTTGAAAGACAAATTACAATTTTTGACAAATTCTCGGTGATCGACATTCATCTTCAGCTGAGCGCAATCACAGATGGAAATTTATGTTTTAACATGCAGACATTTTTTTTAGAAGTTTTCTTTTAGCACCCTTTAATTATTCTAAAATTATTTTCAAGAAGTTCAAGCTATTTTCCGGGGGAAAATAAATTGATATTTTCGCAATGCCTGTGTTTTTGCTGAATAATGCAAGACGCCAGGCAGATAACCTTACTTGCATATTTTATGCCGGCTTATTCATTATGCATTCGACAGTCATCATTATGGCCGTCCGTTCAGTTCCCAGAGTATGCTGCATTTATTCAGCATAATGCTGAGCGTTTGTATAGGAAGAAAACATTTCTTTGCTTCCGAGTTTATTGCTTATAACGGTGGATTCTGTAACAGATACGTGTTCTGCTACATGCGTGGCTATCAAGACTTCGAGATGGCGCAGAGCAGCGTGGTGACCAAGATCAAGGGCATGATGTACCGGTATCGTGCCAACAGCACCCGCAAGGAAGTCTGGGACGGTGTGGATTTTGTCGTCCCGCCACAGGTAAGAGCGTATCGTCCTTGTTACAATTGTGATATGATTTAAAGGTATAACTTCTGCGTTAAATTTGGATAAGAAATATCCGCGGAAGTTACGAATATGACAGATATAATTATGAATTACTAATTATATTCTATAAATCAAAATCTAATTGGCTGTTTATTTCTTTCCTCGGATCTTTTTTGGGATTTTAAAAACCTTCTTGTAAAAGCCACAGTACAAGGAAGGCATATCTGACCAAAACAGAGCACACAAGCATTTTTCAAGCATTTCAAAACTGAATTTAGGCTTGCAAAGTCGACTTTAGAATTTCAGGAAATTTAATTCCTCAGCGCGACTTCAGTTGTTTGCAATTTTTTTCAAATAGAAATACTTACAAGTGCATTATAAAATTCTTGAAAATTTTGGCACGTCATCTCTTCGTTAAATAAATCCCTATTTTAGAAGCCATTTCATTTTTCAACCGTTTGGAACTTTGTAATGATTTTTTTAAAAATACAATTTCTTCGGATTATTTTATGAAGCACACTTTCCCTGATGTACTCGCTTTACAGCTAAATATACTGGTGTATTAATGTGATCGATATCAAATTATTATCAAAACTGCACCATGCCTACGTCACGATCGATAGGATATTAATGGAGTCACGCAAAGCAAGTGCTAAGTGTCTATTATCCGAACGTGGGTACTTTTCCTCCCCCACACACAACAAAAGACCGTTGAAATTGTGAGAAAGTTTCTTTCTACAAAAAAATGACGGACTACAAGCGGGGCATATGGTGAGATGATGCGCGCTGAATTAAGCCACAATATTCCATCATTAAGTTTATCGTCCATCGGGGGATTTGGCGCTCAGGGACGCTCGAGCGTCTATTGATTGGGACTGTGGTTAGGCGTCTATAGAAAAACGCCGGAGACAGGATGTGCCGTTTCAGCAGTATAACATTTCCACTTCCTTAATTTGTTGATTTAATCCATAATAATAAACTCGCTGGAACGAATGGTCTGCGCGATCGATGTGCCGGTTTTTTATGTGATAGCTAATTGGATCGTTCCATCAATTGAGGTGTGAGTGTTTTTCTGCTGCGATAGGAAAGTGATGCGTTTTTCATTGCCACGAGTCTGGTGTACACGGCCAATCAGACGCAGGGACAATGCCCAGAGGTAATGTGTATAAATGCGTTCGCAAATAAACTGAATATGCATCATACTGCATGTATCAATCGCAAAAATTGGAAATTATTTCTTTGCTTAATTCCAAATATAAACGACATTTTCTCAAAACGTTTTCGTTTTATTTTATTTTTTTAACAACATTCAGTCAGTCAGCTGTACAGTAGTGACCTTTTAAAACCCGCTTTTCGGTTCGAGACGTTAAATTACATTTTTTCGCATTTTTTAAGTAAATCAAAATTTTTTGTTCGGTAGTATTTTTTTTATCTTTCAAAACCGGCTAAATTTTGAATTCTAAATTTGACATTTACGTCTCTTTTTTATAGTGTTTCATAAAATCAAAATTAAAATAAATGCAAATTATTTAAACGTTTTTAAATTTTTTAACGGAGAAATGGATTGCAAATTAACAGGCTTTTCAATGCTGAACCAGGTATTCCTATGTCTTTTTTCTGAACACTAAAGCATTGTGGAGCTGTTCGGCTTTGGTCTGTTAAAACCGATTAATTTGTAGCGTCAACATGTTCTGTTTATTTCCGGATGGTTTTGCTACGGCTTGCGCCTTGCGACGAAATGTTTATTCGTCTAGACGCGTTAATCAGGGCGGATATGATTGCAGGATCCCAATGTCGGCGCGGACGGCATCCTCTGTCACAGCGACGATGACTGCGCCGTGGATGAGCCGACGCCCTATGGGAACGGGCTGAAGACCGGACGGTGTGTGGTGTGGCAGGGCAGCGTCAGGACGTGCGAGATTAACGCCTGGTGCCCGACGGAAATTGATAAAACGCCCAAGTACGCAGATGTTCATCTTTGTAACTACGATAGTCAGATCATCACATCCGTGTAATTTTACTTGGTAATAAAAACCGGAGAGCCAACCAAATCAGTGCTTCTCCACAGGTTTCTCTACAGATACCCATCAACATTTAAAAATATATTTAAAGAATATTCAGAGGAGTTACTAAACCGATATTCAAAGAAAATCAACTTTCCAGAAATGCAACGAGGACAAGCTTTTAAGTTTAAAAAAATTTTCTTTAAAAACTATCTTCTTCAAATGCTAAACTTATTTTAGAACATTAGAGAACGTTTACACTTTGTATGAAAATATTTGAATTGCAGGTAACCAATTTTTAAAAAGATTGGAGTGACATTATTTTTATGAAAATTCTTTTTTTGTCTAAATTCGATCATTTCAAACTATGTAAAGTTAAAAATTTCCCCATAAGAAGCAATATTTTCAAAAGACGTTTACTTAAAATTCTTAAAAAATTATAAGAACACTCTGCGAGTAGAAAATTTTTAGTGGGTTGTCAGTGTCACTTAAAAAATTACGTACTTGATAGTGTAGCAAAGCGTTCTAACCACGAAGGTGAAAAATTTGTACATAACTATACAACTTTATTTCAAGTTTTTGTTTTCATTTTGAGAACTAATAGTTAAAGCACTGAGCAATTTCTTGCGCATCATCGTCATACTGTATAACCAAATTGTTCGATGAACGACAAAGTGCAATATCCCAACATTCATTGCCGGTTACGCAATCGTTGCCCGACATTTATAGTCAGCAATATTTCGATCCCGATCGGCGTGACCTCATTCCCGGCATCTGACATTTCAATTTACCCTGTATAATAATTTCCCATTTCTCAGGAGTGCCATTCTGCACGGCTTCGAGACGGTCACTGTCCTCGTCAAGAATCACGTGGCTTTCCCCAAGTTCGATAAGAAAAGGTCGGTGCTGTGAACCGTCCGGATTACAGGCTATCTGGTTTCACTGTGGCAACTGTTATTATGTTGGGGTTTGCTTGACGAGCAGGCGGAATATCCTGGATTCCATCAACCAGACATATCTGCAGTCGTGCCGGTATGATCCCCATACCGATCCGCTGTGCCCGGTGTTCAGTGTGGCCAAGATCGTCCAGCAAGCCAATGTCAGCTTATCGGAGATTGCGGTGCGGGTGAGTGAGCCGCATCATAATATAGGCAGCCATGCGGAAGTGGTATTGTGTTTTTTCCAGAGAATCTGACAGACAATACGTCGGCGTTGAGAACCCCTTTTTGCAAGATAATAATTTATTTATTTTCGAATTTAAATACGCACACATTTTGTCATGTAACAGACATTGTAACTGCTGAACAATTTTACCGTTACATTTTTGAAGTTACTTGTATTGAAAATATAAAATGTGTTTAAAAATTTGTGAGACAAAAAAAGATTTATAAAGCAAATAATACATTAATATAAATTAAAAACGGAAATGAAATATCATCTCTAACCACCTTAATCTGTCTTGCATTTGATTTGTCCTTCATAACACAACTTTAGACCATTAATAATTTTATTTTATAATTAAGTATTTGCTTTGAAAATTAATTCATTTTCCCAGTTGTGCCGACAGAACGTTTCATTCAAATCGGCAATCGTTTCTCTTCTAACCACGTCTTTAGAATTATGAGGGTGTACCTGTTTAAATTTCTATAATTATTTGTTTCAACACATCCTATATTATATAGTTCAATTTGGACGAAAGCGCGCGCTGAATTAGTTTTGTTATATAAGCAACTTTACTAAATCAGTTTGAGGTAACTAATGTTTCTTCTGTTTAAATAAAACTATATCGAATACAGATAAATATCAAAATAAAATCAGAGCACAAAAGAAGGTTTTAAGGTGAAATTAATTATTAACTAACATATTTATTTTTTTAATAAAACATTTTAAAATGAAAATAAAAGCACATCGTGGTATTTTAAAGAAATCAGTCTGTTTTGCCTTTGGTTTCTTAACGTGATTATTTATGTCTTTTTACTTCCTTTTTGAACTGTTTAAACCGTGATCCTATTTAAGCGGGGAGGTATTTAATTATCCATTACGTCAAATATTGACGTAGCGGATGCCGGCATTTAGGCCGTTAAAAGGCATCCCACAAGCGATCGATACAAACCAATTACGGCCGCGATATCAGCGCGATGATGTGGAGTGTGCCGAGGCAATTTATCTGCTTAATGCGCTTCCGATGACTGTTTATGCCGGGTGTAAAAAACCGCCTGATCATGGCTACACTGACTGATGATCCGCTTTTTCGCTTTTTTCCACCAGGGCGGAATAATCGGGTTTGATATCTCATGGAACTGTGATTTTGATTATGATGAGGAGTACTGTGTGCCGCACTACTCCTTCCGCCGTCTGGACAATAAAGACGACAAAGTGGCCAAAGGATGGAATTTTCGGTAATTTAATCCGATGTATACAGACATGTGCTGTAGTTTCCGGTTACATTTACAAACTCGGCTGGAAATATAAATGCTGTTGCAGGCATGCGTATTATTATTATGATGCCAGCGGTATACAGCGCCGGGATTTGGTGAAATTGTGGGGCATCCGCTTCGTCTTCAATGTCAACGGGCGCGCCTACAAATTTTCCCCGGTGAATTTTGCCATGAACCTGGGATCCGGGCTGGGCTTGCTGGGAATTGTAAGCAGAACTAACTCAACTTACACAATGAAATTTAATTTCATGCGTTTTTAATCTTACTGCGCCAACAGTGTGTATACTTCAGTAGTAAATTCGTGTACTTGCCAATGCTTACAGTTTTATCCTTCGTATGAAGCAGATTTCTGGCTAGCTCCTATTTATTACTTCTTTTTAAAAAAATCCAACTTATAACTACACCAAAAATATTTTCCAAAGTTACATAAAACTTTTAAGGAAAAAATTAATGTTTTAGGATAATTTAGTTAAAGCGTTTCTATTGAATAAATAAAGCTGCATTTGTTTTTGTACCGCATCCACATATAAACCATGACTTTATAATTTGTGAGAAGTTTCTCAGATAGATCAAAGCTAGAAGGTTTTTATGTAAATTGATTCATTTTGGAAAACTTCATGATATAATATAAAACTCTTAATTGAATTTTGATAGAATAAATGGCTTTAATATAAAAAATTCAGGAAAACCTGTTCATACGTTCTTTCTTTAAAATCGATAAGTGGAAAGCAAGTAATCCCTCCTAGCTAAAGCGATGTAAATTTGCCCAGTACATATTTATAAAACGTTCCCTTCGGACAGGCATCCGTGGTGTGCGAGTTCGTTCTGCTCAACTGTCTCCGCTCAAACGACGAACTTATCGAACAAAAGTTCACCAAACTAGACCACTTATCCAAGGTGAGCACCCGTGGCGCAACAAAAAAACCACGCTTTTATAGCCGCTATTGACCGTTGACTTTTGATTGTCATAGACTCCGCACTCGCGCACAAAATCCACGGACCTCGGCGTGATGAGCAATAGTGCATCGCGGTCGCGCAGCAACAGCGACTTCCTCTTAACGGTTCTCCCGCACTCTCTGGGGTCACCCCGAAGCAGTGCGCCGTTTTCGCCGGTACACGGGCACGGACCACCGCTGGTTACGATGGATGATGTTTAAGTTAACGAATCCACTGTCACGAATCTTAACGAAGCATGATGTGTTGTCGAGACCAATGTCCAAAAAAGGAACATATTTACAGCTTGACAGTAGCAATACAGTTTATGGATATCGTTGTCGAAAGAGACCTGTTAAAATTTAGGATCTCGTCTTCGTGTATTGTAGTGTGCGCGCAATATTATACAGACTAATTTCTATACCGTCAATCGCAAGTACAGAGTACGGTCGCAAAGGTCAGAACGCCATAAAAATATTGGGATGCAGAAGTGGCATTTATTCCGCAGTGCCACGTTCATTTGCTTCACTTTTCTTCGATAAATTACCTACGATCACTGGACTGGACTCCACTGTACCTCACAGCAAAACGACAACGAAAAACATATGAATGTCAGAGATAAAAAAAAAACAATTTTCGTAATTTTTCGTATGGAATACGGGTCAAATCATCGACCAACTTCGAGTGGTCTTCTTCGATAGTTTACTGCTTATGTACCACGAATTCTCGCTTGTCGCGAACGGTTAATCGACTTCATCTTCTCTTATCGTAAAGAGCACTATAAACAACAGAACGAAAATGCCTGCAACGCAGAGAAATTCAGAAGTACCACGTTTTTGTAAGTACACGTATCTGGTATTTGGAAGAACGACAACTAAAGCGGTCTATTTTGGCGAAACACAGAATACTGAACGTTACTTCGGTATAATGGCGTTAGTGTTACGTCCCCAGTACAAATCGACTTTCAAATGATTGAATTTTTTTCTGTTAGTTTTTGATGTAATATTACCTGAGGAACAACGTCTTTGCCTATAAGTATTAGTAGAGCAAAATCGTTTTCATTCGATAAAGTGTAGTATAATTCGTGAATCAGTAGGAAATATTATTACTATGCTCCAGTGCGGTGCGATTGAGAGTCCGACGCTTCGGTGCGCACATAAATGCTCGCAAGTATGAAGATCGTTTTTAGATCGAATTGCTAAGCTGCATCCTTTTTCCAAAATTTAAAATTAATTTGAAAGTTTAAATATTCATGATAACATTTGACAAAAAGGCTGGAACCGTTTTTCGTTAAACCGATCTTTAGGCATATGTGCGCTTACAACTTTCCATGTAGAAAGTGCGGAAAGTTGACGAATTTGGTATTATGTACCGGGTCGCTTCCCTTACGGCATACAGCTCTAACGCGCCAAGTGTGGACAGTTGCATAAAATAAATTAAGAAATATTTTCGTACGTCGTTTTGTTTTATGTTTTGCACTATTCTAGCGTAGTTTTTTATTGCGGATCAAAAAAAAATTAAAATCAAAGTCTTTTGATGTGCCAGTAGCGAGACGAGCGGTGTTTTAGGGGAGGGGGTAGCGGTCGTTTGTTTTATGCTTATGAATGCCCCTCGAGAAGTACCACCACTTAGGATCTTTGCGTGGGGTTTTTGAAAGTTATTGAATGATCCACAAGGTGTCCGTTACGCGTGTCAGAAACGTCTTACATGACCAGTGCTTGCGCTGATCTCGGAACAAAGTGGTTCTCCCATAGGCTTTTATGTTAAAAACGACATACCGAGAAGTGCGGTTGCCTAGCACATGGATCTGGGGACGTCGAGCTGATAACTTCCATGAATCAGATGTGGGTGACGCTAGTTTATTTTGGAGTGTTGACAAATATCATGAGCACAGGCGAGGAGGTATAAGCGCCGGGCGAATGGAAGAAAAAACCATTAAAGCGGTGACTAAAAAAGCTAAGACTTTTGCTTAAACTTGCTGGAACAAGATGCCTCGGGGTTACTGTGTAAACGAAAAGTTTAAAAATGCTTCTCAACATCTTCTGAATGAGATTTTATCAAGAACGGTTGCTTGCGACATTCGGCGGCTGTCCGGCGAAGGCGTAAAGGAGGTCGCCCTCGACTTTGACGGTGCCTGAGGTAAATTTGCAAAGGTCACGCAGGTTTCATGGAATTCGATGGATGTCCTGCACATATCGCAAGAGCATTGGTTGCGGAACAGCCCAAACTTATTATTTTTGCTGTGCGACATCAATGAAATTTTTAAACAAATTTTTGAGTCGGAAGATGGCAGCCACGGCCAATGGGTCAGGTCAAGCCACATTTTTAATCCGGTCGGTTTTCATTTTTATATCGCTGTGATTTCAAAAACGCTCTCAGCAGGGCAAACCAAAATGCAAAACATGCTAGACGCAAGCAGCAACGATATGAAAATCAAATAATTATAAATTTGTCTACGGCTACCCTTTAGTGATTTTTCAAAAAAAGTGTCCACACTTGCCGCGATAGGGCTGTATATCGCTTACAGATCCGTGTAAGCGATTTCGGATTCGTTTCTGAACTGACAAAGAAACTGCCTACAAGATTGTAGAAGGAGATATTAATGAAAAATGTCACGTTCCACAATCCTGTAGGCAGTTTTCTCGGTATTGTGCGGTTCCGTTGAACAGCCTGCGATAAAATATTACACATATCATGGACGTTACCCCATTACAGTCCTGCAAATCCTAACAGGACTGTAATGCAAATCCTAACCATCCTATCCTACCGGCTGCGTTTTTGTACCTTCCTCTTCTTTGTTTTAACTGCCCTCCTGCTGCAAAGCGCTGCCGTGCGTTGTAACAAAAAGGGCAGTCAAAAAAAACAACCAAGTCGATCATAATTGGTTGGGATCGGCACAAACGACAGTTACTGCAATTTTAAAACTAAATGCGCAAAGACTGTTCTGTAGCGCTTTTCTTACAGTAATCAAACTTTTAACAGTAATGCTGACTTTGTAGAATTTGCACAGATATTTTATTTTCTACCCACTGTGCTTACTGTGTTTAGGTGCTATCGCTACTGCTATCTTATTACAGTTCCGCCTGTTCACAAGGAAATACCGTCCATTCCGGCGGTTGCAGCAGATTTGATCGCTCATGGTAAATTTTGATCTGAACAGAGATATAAAGTGTACTGCTAATGGTAAGTCGCTACACATAACTGACTAAATGTTAACATCATAGCGCTCCCTTTTGTACCTTACAGTCATAACATGGAGTATTGTACAGGTAGAGTCCTAGTGCATCTTACAGAGGACTGACGCGAACCACATCAAAACCGAATTAAGAAGCCAGCCATGCGGAAAAAGCGTGCTAACACACTGATTCATTCGGCAAATACTTTGCTGGTTGCAGTAAACGGATTTCGGTCCGTTGGGAACGGAAAGCTAAAACTGATTGGCACGGGAGTACTTAATCAATAAACGAAGGTAACTAGGAAAGTGAACCGGTGCTGCCAAGCAAAACCAAACGAAAACGTTGCAGAAAATTCTGTTAGACATGATAATAAGGACAAGGAGCGTAAATACATTCAACAACTCAGCAACGTTTACTTACGTACTTGAATCTGAAAGAACAAGAATAATGCACAAACAAAGAAGGCGACTCCAGATAATATTTTCATTGCCAAAGCAGATGAAAAGCCAGCAGAAAACCAGGTGCAGTGAAATCACTTTCGATTCACATTTTAAGCCTTAGTCCTTAGCAAGCTTTTGACTGGATAATGCTTTTCGAGTGCTCTATGTGCGTGCTAGCAGTCTGAACGTATTAATTCTGGGTATACAACAGGCGCCCATTTCACCATCGTTTTACTATCGGCGCCCCATTTTGAACTATTTTGCTGCAGAAATTACGTGATAATCTTTACAGAAGGCAAAAATATTTCCAAGAGGGTATTGCAAGATTTAAAAAAAAACTTACCTAAGAAGACTGAGTCGTGGAGTTACATAAATAATGTTTTCTAAACCTCTTTGGTTTCAACCGTTTTAAAATGGTGTGGCTGTACTTAGCACACAATTCGCGAAAATGCACGAGAATTCCATTACTGGTTATGAATTGTAAAATTATTTAATTTTGAGCTGAAAAGTTATTTAAAAATTTATAAAAAACCTCTAGCGAGGATTTCATGAAGGGTAATCTGTGTATTTATGCGTGCTTATGTGCGAAACTTTATGAGAATCGGTACATATTGAGACTTTTGTGCGCAGAAGCTCGGGAAAATAAATGTGGTGCTGTGTATCGGCAACACGTCCTTTAATTTATCCGCAAAGGCCTATTTTACGTGTCTGGATGTTTTCCAGATTGTGACTAATATCTCCTGTTTAAAGAGAAAACAGTTACGAATAATGATATAGGAATATACCTTTATTAATTCCCGCCATGCTATCCCGTCGCACTGTAACACCGGAAAGGAAGACATGTTTGTACGGTAATTGTAGCCACTTCAGCAAAATCCTAATTATACCGCGGTCTATTGCTCAACGCGTTTTATTGCGCTGCATATATCGGTTACATGCGTCAATTATCAGCCGTCTTAAGTGTTTTTTCCTCTGGCTATGTTCCTCCTTGCAATCAATATGCCGGAGTACGCCTGACAACACTGCCGCATTTCCGTCGTTTGCCCTATATCCCTAATGGTACGTGCGCGTACAATATTACAGCGTTCAACTCGTAAAACACCAGCGCACATCACTCAAGGTCTGTTAATGTCTGTTAGCGGGCAAACTGCCCGACCAATTTGTCTCCGTGTTTCCAGCGTGAGCTGGGTAAATCATTTGCCGGTCTGGGTAAGGCTTTTTTCATCGTATAATTACTTATCTGCATGGATATACAGGAATATGCCGCCACGATGCTGGAGTATGACGATAACGAGCGGAGATTCTCGTTTTTCACCAGGTTTGATTTACCTTCTTTCTGCTGTATTTAGGACTCGCATTTTTTATTTTGATTTTACGATTGTTTATTTTAGTTCTCCAAACACGTAATTATTTTTGGCATTCTTATTACAGATATAACTCCCCGCGCGTTATAACGTTACGCTGTCCATGGCTCGGGACAATGTACCGGTTGTCGCAAGCCGCAATCGCCGTGTATCTGATCTGGTAGTTTAAAACTACACTATTAAAATTCATTATTTAATAATAAGAAATTTTATCAGTATATTTTTTATAGTTATTAGTACAAGTTTTTTTAGCTATTTTACGTAAATTTTGTATTTCTGTTTATATTCATTTTAATATTAAGGCATCTGGCTAATCTTATTCTGTTAACTGTTATCAGCTACGTGGTGGTGTTTACGAAATCCTATCAGGACACGGACGACGCCGTGAGCAGTGTGGTCAGCAAAACCAAAGGCTTCTTGCAAGCCGAGAATTTCGCCAATAAAATGTGGGACAGCAGCGATATCGGGTTTAGTCCGCAGTCATCACGCGCCGTATTTGTCCCGACTAATTACGTTTTTACACCCAATCAGACGCATGGGAATTGTCCAGAGGTGAGTCAGGAAGATGTATAACAGTTAACTGTAACAGCCCTCTGCTTTGCGCTTAAGTTGAATCCGATATCAGTTTCAGCTGCAACATAAGCAGGTTACAGCGACAAATGTCTTCACAAGTTAGTAAAATATTTTGAAAAATCTATTTTTTTCCTTATCAAAAACAACACGCAAAATTGTTAATGAATCTGAAGCTTTCGTTCTAACTGTTTGCATGATTATTATTAAGAAATAGTTGCCGCTTATTGTTTTCCATGCAGTTATCCATAAAAACATTAGATAATGCGACCGATAAATTATTTTTTTGTAGACAAATTATTCATAAAACGTTGCAGCCAAAGCATCAGTTTCTGTAAAACTACTATTTAATTTTATTTAAAACTATCCATAAAGCGGGAATGTTGCGCAACCAAGAATTAGCAACGAATACAATATCAGGTTACTGTTTGACGCGGACATAATAATTTCAGGATCCGAACGTGGAAACGCCGGGCAGTCTGTGCGATGACGACGAGGAATGCGTGCCGGACATGCCGACCATGTATGGGAACGGGATCCGCACCGGACGCTGCGTCTTCGACATCCTAGACCGGGAGAACTCCACCTGCGAAGTGCACGGCTGGTGTCCGACGGAACGCGATGTCCATTACCAGTACGCTAAACTGTTACGCCTGTAATAATATAAGTGGGACGTGGTATGCCGGGAATGTTGACACGAACTCCGTTGCGCTGTTTTTCCCAGTCACTCCCGCATCAACGGCTTCGAGAGCGTCACGGTCAGCATCCGCAACTATATCGTCTTTCCGAAATTCCAAGTGCAACGGTGAGATAGAGAATCCGCTACTTGACGGGTAAAATTAGCTGTTGTGACAGGCCGAATTGGGTTCATGACAGCCGCCAAACAGGCATTTGATTCTCGACAGTCAAACCGGACTGATAAAACTGAATTCTTAAAATAATTATTTTCCTCAGCTAAGCAGCATAAATAGTTTCAATTTATTATTTTTTAATTAAATTTAAACATTTAAAATAACAATATAAATAATTACTTTTTATATACAAAAATGAGCACTACGAAATAAATAAATTAAGATAAGGAACAAAATTTAAATGTGATACCTACAAAATATATTAAACTGTAAGACAAAAGCAATAAGTTGCTTATACAAAATTAACTATATCAAACAAAAATAATTTTTATTATTGTACGCTACAAATGAAGTTTTAATTTCAAGTGCAGTCACGTTTTATTTGCTGCGCCATTTTTATTCGAATTTTATCTTTTTTTCTATGAATAACTGAATCTTTGCATCAATTTGTGAGAATAGAGTTTCTGCTTTTCGGCACGCTAATATGAATCTACATGGAGTTAGGTAATTTTACCCTACCAAATGCCAATGTCCGCCAAGCACAACAAATTATAAATGATCGCGCGCGTGCCGGTTCGGCGTTTTCTTAGGCAGAACATCGTGCCGCAGAACCTGAGCGAGCTAAACTGTCGCTACCACCCGCAGACGGATCCGTACTGTCCCATTTTCTACATGGCGGATATTATTGCCCTGGCTAATGAGAGCCATTCCCAGATGGCCGTGCTGGTATGCAGGCCGACAAACGGCCGATTACGGCCGGGCGGCTTAAATGAAGCGGAGAATTCTTTTTAATTACGCGTACTGGCAGGGCGGGATTATTTCCATCCGCATCGACTGGGACTGCGATCTGGACTATGATTTGGACCAGTGTCTGCCGGTGTATTCCTTCCATCGGCTGGATAATGCTAGCGATCTAATAGCACCGGGATGGAATTTCCGGTATATTTTAGAGGTTTTATAAAAAGATTGTTAGAATTATTCATAATATAAATTTCAGTTAAATACCTACGTGTTTACGCTAGTGTTTGTTCGTTTTTAAATTTTTCTTATTTTAGTTAACAGGTTCAGCTTGCAGGTCAAGTGCTACAAGTGGTAATGGATTTCTAATATAACAATTTCGCTTATTCTTCGTTATTAAATATTTGTAAATAAGTGCTGCTTTTAATTCTTTTAATTTACGTATTCGTTTGGTTTTTGCTGTTTTTAATTCAGTTAAGCGGTTAATTATTTTTTTTTGCTTTTCTTAATAATCGCTCTTAATTTTTTGTCAAAGTTTGTAAATCTAATTTAGCTTTTCCTGGGCATAAAAAATTGGTAATTTGGCTTTTTCCCAGTCTCTTTAAAGCAGTATAAGTACTAATGATTCATCTTCTTTACGCTGCAGACAGTCGTATTACTGGCAAGATAAAACCGGCATAATGCGGCGTGATCTCATCAAACTGTACGGCATTCTGCTGGTCTTCAACGTACATGGCCAAGCCGGCAAATTCTCCTTCGTGAAAACCGTCTACACACTGGGCGCCACGCTCGGCCTGTTGGAAATTGTAAGGAATTATAAAATCCGTTATATCTTAAACAATCGATACAAAGGCGCCTTAATTTTTTGCAGGCCAGCATGATCTGTGATTTCATCCTAATCAATTTTGTGGCGAAAAAGCACAAAGAATTTGAGCGGAATCGTTCGGAATCGCTGATCGAGGATGACGAATCTGCTGCTGTAAGCGTGGTTACTACAAACCTGTTCAGCAATGTGAAAACGGGGTCATTTGTAGCCATCGACGGTGGTCACGCCCCTTTTGTCCCGTCGCTACGGCACGAGCAGTAGTCTACGGGAGACGAGTTTCTCCTACATGGACGACCACCGAATACATCCCTCCGCGTTACGCCGCTCCACCTCGTCCTTGCCGCAACAAAGGGTGGTGACCTTTGACCTGGGGGATCACCGTCCGCTGAGTCGCTCGGCAGGGTCGCTACCCCGTAATCATATAGTGCGTTGGACGCCGGATGATCGGCGGCAGCGCTGGATATAAAATGATACCGCGTCTCCTGTATGAAACTGTTGATAACGTAATATTACACTGGATAATTGTATTATTATTTCTAAATATTTCAAAATAGATTTTGTATGATACATATTATAATGTTTTGGAATGTCTGTTGCAGATTTTGCGAGCACCATTTTGGATTACGGTTACGTTCTTTTCGAAAACAGATAAAATTTGGGAAAATTAGTGCAATTAAATTAACAGAATCGTGGCGACGGATAACAAGCCGCAATCCCAGTTTTTTTTTTACTTGCTTAAGCTGATTTATTTAGGTAGTCGTGCTTTCTATAGGGTATAAGTGATGACAGGTTTCCGTATCTTGGTGAAAAGTAATTTTTTTGCAATGTTACGTTTGGTTCGGCTTTAACAGCTGAAGTCCACTTTATTGGTCAGCGTATTCCAACAAATCGACTGCATAAGAATTTATCGGAAAACAGCGGTTACTTGATCAGCATAAGTTTGTACAATGAAAGCGGTCTGATTTACATCAGCAGAGCGATGCACCGGTAGCTGATCAAAGCACAATAGGGCTTTCATTGGAATAATCGGGGAATGTTCCTAGTGGGGCTGCTAATGAGGTGGGCGATGGTCCAGCTGCACCTCGCAGTGGCCTTTCCTGTTTTTACCGTTGTGGTCGAAGGAGTCGATTTTACAGAAAAAGCCGTTCTTGTGGTCGCAGTCGGTGACGCTCGTGCACGCGGCGCCCTGTTGGCCCTTTCCGGCCGACACCGTCGCGGCCACCATCTGCAACACAGGAACGCTTACCGTACATTGCATTCGTGACTGGTCTGTATTTATATTACTGCAGCTTTAATTATTATTCCTGAGATCTGCCGTTAATAATCATTCTGTACAGTTATACAGTTTAGAAAACTGGAGTATTAAGAACATTAAATTTTTAAAATTTCAAATGAAAACGCGAAAAAGTGGAAATGATCCAGTCGGACCGCGATTAAAAAACGGTTCAAAATTGTCAACGGTTCGAGATTATTAGCGGGTAATATTTAATAAATATTTCTGAACGTAACGGAAATCAGCAGCGGCGTAATACGAAATTATAACAAGTTCAATGTTAAAGGTTAAACACACACTGACATGTAAAACCGTACCGTGCAGACGAGCAAAACCAGGCAGAACTTGGCGGACAACATTGTCGAGGAAGGTGAAGGAGTTAAACGACAATCGAGTAAATACTAAGAATGATTGTATCAAGTTAATTGATAAAATACTAAGCGCTTCGGTCATCTTTATATATGCAACTTATTCAACGCGGAATAGACCAGCATGCCCCGGGCGTGCGCTAGCCATTCACAACAATTCGGCACAGCAAGCAACAACGTGCAACAACAGTTTCGACCGTGGTTGAGGCACATGCTGTGTCATTCTCATTTCAAATAACACAAAAACATTTAAGACATTTTGTTTGCACTAGATGTACGGTTTTCCAGGTAATGGTCGTTCAGAAAAATTAATAATCAATTTATCGTGCAATAAAAATCTGCCGTGCAATGTTTACCATTTTTCCATGCGACCTATACGCCGCATCGCAACGTGTTTATGTAAACTGCGGTAAACACATTTGCCTTCTTTTTGTGTTACTCAGTAGTGTTTTGCGCTTTGGTGTTCGTGCGGATTGATAATGTATCATACAACCTGTTTTAGGCGTAATGAATTTTTTCTGCTGCGTAACAAAGAACCGTAAACAAGCAAATGCTGTAAAATACATGAACTGCACACAAAATGAATATCTAAACAAAAAAACCAAATCAGAAGTGAGCATAAACTTTTACATAAATATTAGTTATATATGTAGCAGAATTGGTCGGAGGGTCTTACTTCCCCCCTTTTCCTACGCGCAGCTTCTCAGCGTCTTGCAGAAGGAGCCATTATGCAAAAATTCGCATGTCCGAAGAGTCGCAGAGACTTTGACGACACAACAGAAAAAAGTATTATGCAAATATCACGGGAACCACACGTCTTCTCTCAGGGTTGGCAAGCCTTTTTCGGCTTTTTGTTACGTGAATTTTTTTAACAGGCGAGAGTATTAACGCGCTATGCGTAGTTCCGCGTATTACGTACGTGTTGTCTGTTCCGTTACGTATGACTTGCTGTTCTCATCTTACGCATTTGATCGCTAATTCCATCCATGATTCTGGTTAAACTAATCCGTCTGAAGTTTCTAACTTCAACTAAATCTGTGAGCTTGTTTCTAGCTGAAAGGTCGTGTGACTCTAGGTTAGAAGGAAGTTCATATCTCGTTCTGTTCTGTTCTGTTTGTTCGTTCGTTCAGTTTGGTGATTAAACATTTGGGAAGTTCCTGAGTGTTTCGGTTTCGGTAACTTTTGTTAGGCACAGCAATCCGCTCGGACCTAGCGGAGTAGGCAGTAGTACCACTTACGGAGTCCAGAGCATATTCCCACTCTACCGATTGAGTAGGTTTGGTCATCTAGTGCGGTTGTCGCGGTGCAACTTCCGCATAGCAAGTCAGTATATATTCTTTTACCGATGTTATACGGAAGAGTTTATCAAGTCAAAACGTCAAAAAGCGGCATATTGGAAAAGCTTAGAAATTTAAAAAAATGGAATTCTGAAAATAGAGCTACAAGCGAGAAGACCGGATGTCGCGCTTCGAAATCGCTTAAAGGGTTCCCAGCGGCTAATCATTCTGGGGTTTGGAGCTCATTGCAGAGCATGCAGTCTCCTCTATCAGACTATGGCGCTATCATGAATGTAAGAAACTTGTGTACAATAAAAACATACTAGATAGGTTTCCTTACCGGCCCGGATGGTTTTTTTCCGCTATAAATTAATAAAATAGCAAAGGTATTGGAATTTTCAATGTGTGAAAAGTTTTTACAGTGTTTCCGCACCGAAAAGCGTTTTCACAAATCTTTTTGATGAACAGTACTCAGCAAATTTCATCTTGAAATTTTTTATTTCGAAAATTCATAACTAATTTACTGTGATTCAAAAAACTTTTCTGCTAACGCTATAGTGCAGCAAAATCATCTTCCTGATATATCTTCAAGTGCGTTTGATGTCAAGTCGTGTTACGACCGCGTTATATGAGTTACCGCAAAGGGCCTTACGTGGATTAATTTTTTGACACCGCCTTCATACACGCATACATCTAATTTGCGCGGCCTATCATGCCCTTTCTCGGCCGGTAGGCACCCGCGTCACGGTGCTCTCAACAGCACTGTTGCCGCGCCTTCGCCGCGGCTGGTATTCCGGCTAACTTGAACCACGCGGCACCTTTCACACGAGTGAACGACGTCCGGACGGCTGTACAACTTTCGCGTGGAAAAGGGGAATGTGCTTAGCATGGGATGTCACATGCGTCGATACTGTTGCTGCTTCCCATGTTAAGTGTACTTCGACAAATGCGGGAGCGGCGGCTATCCAAGCAGAAGAAAAGAAATCCAGGTTTTATTCGTATCTGAATGGTCGATACATCTTCGCCCCAATAGCTTTCGAAACAATGGGGGCGTGGGGTCCGTCGGCTATCGCCTTCACCAAGGATCTAGCAAAGCGCCTGCGGGACCACACCGGAGAAAAACGCTCGCACGAATTTCTCCGACAGCGTCTCTCATTGGAGATGCAGCGAGGCAATGCGGCGTCAATTATGGGCACAATTGGTGAAGCGGAAAGCTTAATGACATCTGGATGTTATAAAGTGTAGCTTTTTCGCTTGCTAGTATTGGTTTTCTTTTATTGATACATGTGTTATCAAGAATTAAAATGAAAACTGAAATTTGCGCGGAAGCGAATCGCTGCCTCGTGGGTTCAGCCGTGACGTCACGTGTTTGTATGTATAGATTTCGTGTAAATAGATGAAGTTTGCAAACGCTAACCCACTGTTGAATTTGTATCACTTTCTTCAACAGGGGAGTAAAACAATAGCAAATGCCGGTATCTTTTGCGCCGGCAAGCCGCTAGAGGAAACCGCTGTTGGATTCCAATCAGAGGTAATTCAATTAATTGCATCTCAGCCATCGCTGGCTTAATTACCCAGTACCCACTACTGCAGCGTATCAGGGTTCATCTTTCTCTATTCGATCTTGTTACCACGGTATAATATATTCGCTCTAGCACATGTCGATCTGGTTACTATGAAATAAAATGCGCTTTGATCATGGTCTACTTAATTTGGCTGATGACTGCATCACTTTATCTAGTGTTCGAAAGCCGTCTACAAGTATCAAACATTAACTAACGATACTTCTCTTTATTCACCTGTGGTACATCGTATTGTTACATAATAAAAAAACATCACAATTTTACAACATTAAAACTTCGTTTAACTTTTCTGCTCCTTCCATTGTTCCCAGAACTGAGGCCGCGTTCCCCCGCTGAATCGCCAACGACAGTCTTTGACGTAGAAATTCATGGGAACGCTTCTCCCCTGTCTGCTGTTCTAGTCGTTTGCCCAATTCTTTGATGATGGCGATGGCGGCCGGTCCCCAAGGGCCCATTGTTTCAAAAGCTATCGGAGCAAAGATATACCTGCCGAACAAGTACGCATACAGCTGCGCCTTTTTTTCTTCCGCTTCCAATGCAGCTGCGCCTGCGTTTGCCGCCGTAGATTTAATGTGGGAAGGCGCAACAGTATCCACGCAAGTGACATCCCACGCTAAACACATCCCTCTCTGCCAGGCAAAGGTTGTGCAGCCGTCAGGGCGTCGTTCGGAAGTATGTGACGTTCCGCGGGGCTCTAGCTTCGCAGGGATTCCAGCTGACACTAGAGAGCGGCACACAATGCTGTTCAGTTCGCCATGTCGCGGGTGTCTACCTGCGGAAAATGCGCACGAAAGACCGTGGTGTCCGTACTTATCAACGTGCTTATGACACTTCAAACATTCGTGCGGTTCGCATATCGCCACTCCCAATCTCAGGCCAACTGAGATTTTAAGAGTGTCGTCGTCCACGAGGTTGCCACTATGAGCGGAGGGCAACGCGTTTAACCAGATGCCAGCTTCTGGTTTAGACTGAGCAAGAAGGCGGGCTTTGTTAAGGTCATCATTGCGGAAAACTAACGATGCTGCCTCTCAGTGTGCCCCGGCATGTATCTGGACGAACCACACTTTAATCGTAGTCTCTCAGGTGTTTTTGCTTGCTTGCTCAAGCTACTGTAATTTAACATTTTGCGCTCTCTATATGCATGAAGTGATAACATAATCCGTATGTTGGTGAAAATAATTTTATAACGGTGTTATATGTTTGCTTCAGTTTAATAGGGCGTACACTTTTATTCGTCAGTTTATTCCAGCAAATCCATTGCAAGGAAAATATACCGGAAAATACGGTTATGTGTTGAGCGTAAGTTTGTACAATGAAAGCGGTCTGATTTATATCAGCACAGCGATGCTCCAGTAGTTAATCCAGGCACCATAGGGCTTTCCTTAGAATTATCGGGGAATGTTCGGTATGGGGACTGCTAATGAGGTGGGCGATGGTCCAGCTGTACCTCGCAGTGGCCTTTCCTGTTTTTACCGTTGTGGTCGAAGGAGTCGATTTTACAAAAAAAGCCGTTCTTGTGATCGCAGTCGGTGACGCTCGTGCACGCGGCGCCCTGTTGGCCCTTTCCGGCCGACACCGTCGCGGCCACCATCTGCAACACAGGGACGCTTTACCATACATTGCTAACGGTTCTGGATTTTTATTACTTCAGCCTTAATTATTATTCCGGAGATCTGTCGTTAAGAATCTGCACAGTTATACAGGTTAGAAAAAATGGAGCACTAAAAAAAATTAAATTTAGAAAATTTCAAATGAAAAAGCGAAAAGGTGAAAATTATCCAGTCGGCACGCGATTCAGAAACAGTTCAAAATCGGTAATGATTTGATAATAATAGCGGTTAAAATTTAATAAATGTTTCAGAACGTAGCGGAAATCAGCAGCGGTGTATTACGAAGTGTTAAGAAATCCAAAGTTACAATCAAGTAAAACCGTACCGTGCAGACGAGCAAAACCAGGCAGAACTTGGCGGACAGCATTGTTGCGGAAGATGAATGAGTTAAATGGCAATCGAGCAAATACAAAGCAGTGCTCTTTCAAGTTGATTGATACAACACTAAGCGCTTCAGTTATCTTTATATATACAACTGATTCCAACGCGGAATAGGCCCAGCATGCCCCAGGCGTGCGGTTGCCATTCACAACAGTTCGACACGACAACTAACAACCTAACGTGCATCAACAGTTCCGACCGTGGTTTAGGCATATGCTGTGTCATTCTCCTTTCGAATAACAGAAAAACAGTTATGGCATTGTTTGCACTAGATGCAAGGTTTTCCGAGTAATGGTCGTTCATAAAAAGTCAAAACAAACTTCTCGTGTAATTAAGATCCGTGCAGGTCACCATTTTCCATGCAATGTAAACACCTTGAGGTTCTTTTTGCAACTTATTGCCTTTCGTTTTGCCTACTCAGTAGTGTTTTGCACTAGAAGAAAGTTTTCCGGGTAACGGTCGTTCATAGAAAATCAAAACAAAGTTCTCGTGCAGTTATGATTGGTCATTAAGTAGGTTGCGTTTTGCACGGCCTTGCGATTAACGGCAAAATTAACGACGATTTTAGCGTTGTTAATTTAATGTGCCGTTGATTGGAATAGGAGGTTGCGTTATAAACTAAAAAATTTACTGCTCCTGCTATAAATGTGAGGAACTATAATTGAATCAGAGAGTCTCCGCTCAATATTTTGTACCAGTATCAAAACAATTTCGTTTACCAGCGTAAAAACAACAAAATGCAAAGTTTTTATGTGGTACAAATACGTTAGAAGGAAATGCGATCTGAGTTTTCGCGCAAACGTTATAAAGAACTGTCGTTCCATTCTGGAATGCGTGACTCGCTGTTGCACTTGAAAGGTGGTGAATATGCACAGCACAGGCTACAGAGGTGCTATAGCACATTCTGCAACAGTAAAGTATTAGTTTTTGCAATAATTTTTACATTTACGAAAAAGCAAATTATTTTCTTTTCAGTGTAGCTGGCAAAAAAATAAATGACAGCAGTGCAAGCGTCGAGACTTGTACGATTTTCGAAAATTCGAGTCGAGTGGGCAACTCAGGATTGAATGCCCAGGCCGAAATTCACTGGGTAGATTGTCTCGCCTACGCAGTCTCGTGCTCAATGGTCTATGTGGGCCCAGTCGTTCATTACTGAATTTCAACGTCGTTATTAACGAAACGATACCCCCTTCGTTTCGTTAAAAACGACGGGTACTGCCGTTTAAACGTTCATTAATTGTACTGCGTCGTTAATTCTATCGTCAATCGTACCCCTTCGTTGATACCGCAACCTGCTTATTGTCCATGCCTTGTAAACACCTTGACGTTCTTTTGTTACACACTACCTAGTAGTGTTTTGCGCGTCCTTGGTAGTTAATATATAGTACGTAACTTAATTTAGACATGGGTAAATTATTTTGCTTCGCATCGATAGCATCATAAACATGTAGATGATGCAAAATAAATAAATTCGTAAAAGGATCATCTATCTGTAAACTAACAATTAAAATTTCAAATGAAACATACGGTAAATAGTTTAAATGTTTTGTGACTTGATAAGAAAAACTTTATTACGACACTCAACCTTTGCGGAAAGTGAAATGCGGTACTGAGCATTACAACCACGGACTAAAGATTATATGGTGGCCACACCGTTCACAACCTTTCACTCCATACAATACCGTTTGCGGACACTGTCTTTTGTACTCGGTTCAGCATTTTTTTGTTGTTGCTTCCAGTCGCTGAAATAGCAGAAAATGTTGCAATTTTTATCACCCATCGACTGATCCGTACTGTTTAATTTTATACATTTTCCACATGGCGGATAATATTGTCCCGCTAACAAATGAAATGTACAGTGAGTGTTCCCGCCAAATGTTTAATTTTTCAAAAATTTATTGTAGATTTTTCTGCCCTGATTCTTTATCCTCACGTATTTTGTCTGAATGCACATTATTTTTACTGTACTTACTCTGTAAGTTCAATTGATTTCTGCCAAAGCGCAAACTATAGTTTACGAGACACATGAGTTTGTAAACTAACAGCTTCGGCGATAAGCAAGTAACTTTTCGCCTAGCGACAACGGACTCTGTCGTCATTAAACTTGTTTAAAAATTCCATTGATTTTAGAATCACACGGGTTTTGGTTTAAAGAATAGCCAAATAATGTATCATTAGTGTACATCTGACCTGAGCAAATCTAAATGAGATTTGAGTAAGCAGTGTGGTCCTGAGACCGTGGGAACCGGAGGAGAGTCACGGCGGAGGCTCTCCCTGCCTCCCTTTCTTGTGCCACGTATTTTTGCGTTTTGTAGAAGAAGCCGATGCAGATCGCATGTACGGAGAGTCGCAAAGATTCTGACGAGACAACAACAGAAGAAAAGCATTCTGCAGATATCACCGGACCCCCAATCCGGCGACATACGACTTTCCTCCTGGTATGCCGGGTTTTTTCGGCTTTTTGTTATGCGAATTTTCAGTTTTGGTACTAGTAACCGGCGAGGCTGTACATTCTTATTGCCGACGGCATAATGTAGATCGAATTTAAGCGTATAGATTAAAACAAAAGCGGCAAACTGTGAAACTTTAGAAAATTAAAAAAAAATGGGATAGACAAAAAATATTACAAGCCAAATGTCGCGATTCGAAATTGCTTATTAGGGCTAGCTTTGACTTACCATATTATCCGAGTGATACCAAAGACGTAGGCATTTAAAAAAAGACTGGAGAAAATGATAACAAAATATCGAAACACTGTTTACGGAAAAATATGACTATAACTTATCTGCAGAGTATGGGGAATCAAAAACCGATTAAAAATATTAATAAAAGTTTTAAAAGCTATTCATTGCAGTTAGGCAATTAAGAGCAATTTCACCAAAATTCCATTACGATGCAATGAGATAGCAGAAGTTTTAATAATATTTGGACGATGAAAGACAATCAATGGCACACTAACACTTTCTGCAGTAATTCATGGAAAATACGGTAGACTAGAAATTTCCAGCCCAGTAGTAAATACAAAGGTCAGAGGGTGTTCCAAACTTTCATTGAAGTGTTCAGAAAAACAAATCGCAGTAACTTTCCCTTTATATCCTACGATGGTCAGCTAAATTAACTCTTATTAACTAAATAATTTTATTAACTAAGTAATTACACTATCAACTAGTTCGTCCGTGGTCAGTGCTGATATAATTTATTAAAGAATTCGTTCTTCCGGTGCTTCTATAAATTATATGAGTTAAACATAGCTTGTAAAGGATATACATGTACTGTACTTACTTGGTGTATTTTGTGTCTGCCAATCAGTTGTCTTCTTGACAAGATAGAAACCGGCATAGTGCAGCGGGATCTCATAATTATAACTTTACAGCATCCGGCGAGTCGCCAACGTCCATGGACAAGGATGGCAAAGTTTCATAATACATAGAACTGTCATGCCCAGAGCGGCAGCGCTGGTTTAATTTTGTAAAGTTCATTAACAATTCCGAGTCAGTCCAATGTAGTATAATCATACGGTACGCCAGTGAATGGAATTAATTATAACTCAATAAGCACATTCTGGCAATTTCTGTCAGGTATGCCTTTGTACCACTTTATACAAGACAGGAGTAAAACAATAGCAAACGGCGGTGTCTTTTGCGCCGGCCATTTGCTACGCAACGCAGAGTAAACAGCTGTCGAATTCCAATCTGAGTTAAATAACTTAACTGTGTTGCATGCAGCCTTCCCTTGCTACTTTATCCACTATCACAGCGTATCGGGGCTAATCTTACTCATGTTCGATCTTGTCACCACGGTATAAACTCTGCTCCAGAACTTTTCGATCTGATTACTATGGTATAAAATGCGCTTTGAGCACGGTATATTTGATTCAACTGATTGCTGTTCGACTTTATCTACTTTTCAATAGGTGCCGACAAGTAAAAAACAGTAGCTGGTGCCGCACTCAGTCAGTGTGCCCCGGCATGTTTCTGGATAAATGCTTTTTAATCGAAAACTAAAGTAACTTTTAACTTCACTGCAGCCTTCCTGGATGTGGTTAAATTCTTTATCATAATGCATTGCATTTACCGCTTACTGTTCATAGCGCTTAGTGCCGAGATCGATCCTTTTCACTTCCATGTCAGTGCTTGGTCGGTTCCCCAATGGCCAGTCAGTAACCAAGCATCCGTTACGAGTATCAATGGTGCGGTATTTTTCTCACATTTTCAGTAGCAGCGTGACATACAGGCTTCATAATTTTCTTTTCTGCAGCGCTGCGGCTGATGGATGAAGCGTTGCAGCGCAGCCAGGACGGAGTGGTTCATCTGGAGATACCAACTTCTGGCCAGCCGTCCCATCTGTCCATTCTGCCGGTCGGGTTTACTGTCGTGCGGGAGCCGGAAGGAGTAAACGTGACACTTCCGTGCGGCGACATCCGGACAGTAGAGCTTCCACTAATCCGCTACAACGGTCGACAGCTATCGCCTGAAAGTGGCCGATTAGAAGAGGTGATGCAGCGGTTGTATGTATGCCGCTGCAATGTTTCCCCTCCCAACAACGTCTTCGATTCCGGTCTCGCCTTGCTGGCTGAAGATCCTTTCCTGCCCACGTACTTCATTCAGCTGTATAACTTCGCGAGCCATTTGTCCGGCACGTACGAATGTCTGCACAGGGTTTACGGAGTACTAACGGTAACCAACCGGTATGTAGCATCTGTGTTGCTTCTGTTTCTGTAAGCGTAGTAAATTTACGAGTTCAGTTGAAAGAGATGTTCCGACGTCCAAATTTGGAACTTTCGTTTTACTAATTGCTTATCGTCACAATGCTGCCTTGCACTAAAGTCTACAGGTACTCTTTAATCGACAGAAGTATGACCAAAAATTAGTGTGTCCACGAATTCGTAGGCGGCGCAACACCGAAATGTTTTGCTGCATGGCTGCCAACGAATGATTATTAATTTCGTTGACGGAAAGCTAATCAGCTAACCACCGGTCAGCGGTATATGATATTAGTCGGAATCGGTCAGCGAAAAACTTGCAAGTATAAAAATTCGACAGTTTCTAGTAACCCAAATGTTGACTGGCTTATTCCACAGAGGCTGACAGAGCAGCAGGCAGATATAATCAGTTAAAATACTGCTATTCGATGGCATGCTGACTGGATCCTAGAGCCCTGCAACGGACTGGTAAATCCGAACCGCTCCGAATCCACTCCGACTTTCGGATCGGATTGGACGGATTCCACTTTCAAAAATTCGGATTCGGAGTGGTTTCGGAGTTTATGTGCATCTGACCGGATCGGATTCGGATGCAATCAAGACTCCGAATTATCCGTAAATAAATAAATAATATTAATTAATTTTTATTGAATTTTACACATTTTGAAAACAAAAAACTTCGTCAGCTTCGCGCGAGGCTTCCACTTGCGTTACAATATTCAATACCAAAGTATCTACTTTTGTTTAGGGTAGTTGTTAACTGTTGTTGGTTCTCTTTTGTTAACCGTTGATGATTCTCCTTCACCTTTTTTTTTATTAATTTGTTACTCGTTGCGCTTCCACCAAATATTTTGTATAAGTACTTCGATTACGCTCTCAAAAATGTGTTTTACGGCTCAGACAATTTAACGTTAACTATGCACCGGCTTTCCATTTCTTATACTTGCACCTCTAGTAATTGGGGTGATACTGATAATTGTGAGTGAAATTGTGATACTGATAAATGTGATACTGATAATTGTGATACTGATAATTGTGATACTGATAAATGTGAGTGAAATTAAAATAATTTATTTTAATTTCACTCACATAGCGACTCTGTGATAATGGTGGTGGTGATAAAGGTGCAAAGGCGGTTCTTGTCGGGTGGGCTCTTTGCTAAACGAATCAAAGTGAAAAGGTTTCATATGCTAAGTAAGTCTTATTGAAAATGGAATACAGTTATTGTATCTAGAAACGGGTTAAACCGAAATTCTTCTGTTATAAAACGCTTAAAAGCGTGGACAAATAATGCCTAACCTTCGATTACCAAAGGTTTAAAAGAGCGGGTACCACACGCGTTGCCTTCGGTGGCCAAAGGCTCAAAACGGCGAGTACCGCACGCGTGGCCTTCGGTGACCAAAGGCTCAAAAAGGCGGGTACCGCACGCGTGGCCTTCGGTGACCAAAGACTTAACAGGGCGGGTACCACACGCGTGGCCTTCGGTGACCAAAGGCTCAAAAAGGCGGGTACCGCACGCGTTGCCTTCGGTGACCAAAGGCTTCACAGGACGGGTACCGCACGCGTGCCGCTCGGTAACCAAAGGCTTAGCAGGACGGGTACCACACGCGTTGCCTTCGGTTACCAAAGGCTCAAAAAGGCGAGTACCGCACGCGTGGCTTTCGGTGACCAAAGGCTTAACAGGGCGGGTACCACACGCGTTGCCTTCGGTTACCAAAGGCTTAACAGGACGGGTACCACACGCCTGGCCTTCGGTGACCAAAGGCTCAATAAGGCGGGTACCGCACGCGTGGCTTTCGGTGACCTATGGCTCAAAAAGGCGAATACCGCACGCGTGGCTTTCGGTGACCAAAGGCTTAAAAGGGCGGGTACCGCACGCGTTGCCTTCGGTGACCAAAGGCTTAAAAGGGCAGGTAAAGCACTCGGGCCTTTCGGTTACTTAACGCTTAAAAGGTGGAACTGCAGGTTTGTTAAGGTAATTAAAGTTATCAGGTTTGTTAAAGAACTATGGTCTTGAAGCTTAGTAAGGGGTAAAGATTAGGGTGGGATCCGGTTTATATCAGGCGAGGAGTTTCACTGTACACTGTAGTGTTAAAGAAAAAGTTTAAATTTACCAAAAAATGGTTTTATAAAACCGTAACGTAAACTATTTTACGCCCAAGAAAAAACTAACTGTGAAGTCTAAAGTCCTCTACTACCGTCAAAATGGCCGTAACAAGTTTTTGTAATATACAGTAAAGATGTGTAATAAAATTCGTTTGGAAAATTTTTCGGAGTGGATCGGAGTGGGTTCGGATTGGCAAAAAAATTTACGGATCGGACTGGTCGGAGTACGATTCTTAACTTCGGAGTCGGACTGGGTTCGGATAAATTTTTTTAAGTTTGGATCGGACTGGACGAAGTTTTCTAGTCCGTTGCAGTGCACTACAGTGAGTGGATCCTTCCGGTTTGCAGATATTATGCGAAGTGCTTTACAATTACACACCTACAGACTGCAGTACTGAAAACATTAAAAATTTCGAATCATTATTGCCTGTTGGCGTTGCATTGAATAAATTCAGTAGTCTAAGTGTTTCAGCGCTATTTTATTGGCAGTGTTTGGCTTTGCGAAATTGTTATTCACATAAGAAAATCGGCTTCTCTTTGAGAATTTTTATTTTTCGAATTGGGTTGCCTGAAAAATCTGCTCTTGTGCGTCGAATAACATAATAGTCGAAACTGACCCTGCTTGTGCAACTGTATTACAGGTACCTGATTAGTCCGCGTCTGCTGCCCCAGGAGGTCTTCAACCCGCCCATGATGAATGTCACGGCCAAGGTAGGCGAGAAAGCCGAATTTCGATGTGCCGTCAAGTTCAACACCATGCCATCCGAGCGCATGGCTTTCGAAACTCGATTTATGTGGAGAAACGACCAAGGCCTAATCTTCGCTCCGGGAGTACCGGCATTCCAGCATGATGTACGCATGAAATCGGGAATCAACGTTACCAGCAACGTGCCAGAGGACTGTTTGTGCCACTCCACGTTGTCCCTCGAGTCCGTCCAGAGTCAAGACGCAGGGCGCTATCAGTGCTGGTTCAAGATCAATGACATCTTTGACGAGTGGGTTGTACAGTCGGCATACCTTCATGCCGCATAATTATACAGTAGCGGGACTAGCGGCTCCACCATCATGATTCATGAGTAATTTCTACCTTTTTGTAGGGTAAATCCCTCCTTTAAATCTTAGTTCCTCTTTGTTAATATTCGCGAGCATCAACAGATGTCTGCAGTGGGTACCTATGCTTGTCATGATCAGGTCTTTTACACTAATGAATAAACATGAGTCATGATCCCGGCTGGTCTTCCATTTCTCGAAATGACGGGCGTGCACCGTGTCCGCGGCAGCGTAACGACCATTAAATTCTGCGGTCGTCGAGGCGAATTTTCTGTCCGTTAAACTCGCGCAGTTACAGTACGGTCATGAAAATCATTACTTGCTTTATTCAGTTCGCTGCACTTTTTCTAAATCGCCTTCCGAGATTCGGTCAAGCCTGCAAAATTGCCAGTTGCGACCTAGTCTCAGAGAATATTTCCGTCGAATCTTTGGGAAATCATCGAATCGGTATTTCGCAACATTCAGGTGTGTATAGGAGTTCGAATGCGAAGCATAGGGCAGGAAATGTTTTAGATAGAATCTATCGGAGCAGAAACTAGTGAGCCAATCGGAACACGATAATCCAAACATACGATCGGTTTCCAAGCAGAGAACAAGTTTATTCCACAGTTGGCAATCGAGAAATTTACGGGTTATTCACGGAAAATAAAATTCCAATATCTGACATCTGCTGTCGTTTCTCACAGATCTAACTAACACCGAATACAATGCCACCATAAAACGCGCGCAAACCAAGCACTTTTCTGTACTCTCACAACCAAATTTGGAACTGGCCATCGGCCAGCTGACATTTAAACTTGGATATTGCGCATTTCCCAACCAAAACCATCGACCACTATCTCAAACGAACGAGGAGGAAATTTTAAGATATCTGATACCAAAGAAGTTCTTGTTCATGAAACCTAAGAGAAAATCGACGCATCTAAATTTTTCGTAGACTTAACATAGGATCTGCATCCACGGCTTGATTTCATTTTCCACAGAAAGAGCGTATGCTTTGTCTACGACAAGCTGAAATGGCTCGATTTTATCTTGGATCTCATACAGAATGATCTGTTTCGTATAGAAATTCTCGAAATTGTTTTCTCCTTCTTTCGAGATATTGCTTGATGGTTTCGTTGGCAAGTGCGCAAGGTGCAAGCGTTCAAATTCTTGCGCGTCCTGTTTATTGGTCATTTGGTCTCGGCCCTTTATTTTTATTAATCATTCGGTCCAGGACCGAATGTAAGACAATTTTGACGTTCAATTGGGATTTATAAGGATCACTTTGTCCAAGATACGAGTAAAATAACAGGAAATGGCGCTATCCTTTGCGCCGGCAAGCTTCTAGAAAGTGCTACTGATTTCCAATCAGATTTAATTTACTTATTTCATTGCAGCCTTCGTTTGCAATTTTCCTCACTACTGCAGCGTATGAGGGCTCACCTGACCCATGTTCGATCTTGTCACCACGGCATAAATTTTGCTCCAGAACTCTTCGATCTGGTTGCTATGGTATGAACTGCGCTTTAAGCACGGCGTACTTGATTCGACGGATTGCTATTATGGCACCTTCTTATCGATTGTACAACAGCCTTCAACAAGTTATAAAACAGACGCTGCCTGCAGTGTGCTCCGGCATGTTTGTGGACAGACCACCTTTTAATCGGAAATTGAAATAATTATATTTCCACTCCAGTCTTTCCTAAATCTGGTTGTGTTCTTTATCATTATGCACTGCATTTACCGCTTAGTGCTCTTAGCGTTTGGTGGCGCGATCGAACCTCCTTACTTCCATGTCAATGCAGACAACACATGGTCGGCTGTCCCCAAACTGCCAGAAAGTAACCCGGCATCCCTTACAAGTATCGATGGTGCGGTATTTTTCACGCATTTTCATCAACAGCGAACACGTAAAGACTTATAATTTTCTCTTTGCAGCGCTGCGGCTGATGGATGAAGCGTTGCAACGCAGCCACGACGGAGTGATATATCTGGAGATACCAGCCTCTGGTCAGCCGTCCCGTCTGCCCATTCCGCCGGGGTTTACCGTTGTGCGGGAACCGGAAGGCGGTAACGTGACACTCCCTTGCGGCGACAGCTGCACGGGGCAACCTCCGCAAATCCGCTACAACGGCCATCTGCTATCGACTGGCAGTAATGGATTAGGAGAGGCGTCGCAGCGGTCGTATCGCTGCCGCTGTCCGGTTGATCCTCCGGACGGTTTCTATGATTCCGGCGTCGGCTTAGTTTTTCAGGATCCCTTCATGCCCACGTACTTCCTTCACCTGTACAACTTCGCCGGCCATTTGTCCGGCACGTACGAATGTCTGCAGATGGTCAACGGGGAACTAGCGGTAACTAATCGGTATGTATTATGTAGCGGCTATTTCTGTACGCATAGTTGTGAGTTGAAGGAGATTACGCGTTTAGTTTAAAGAGATGGTCCGACGTGACGACTTCAATACTCGGACCTTTCGTTCTGCTAACTGATGACCGTCATGATGCTGCCTTACACTATAGTCTACAGACCGTTGCTAGTCGACAAAACAAAGCCTAGAATTAGAGTTTATACAAATTTATTGCTAGCCATGAAATCATTTCGTTGACCGAAAGCTGGTTCAACACACTGGTCAGCGGTATATTATATCAGTCGGTATCAGTTAGCCGAGAAATCGGTAAAAGTAGTAATAAAAAAGGAAATTTTCTGTACTCTTCGAACCGTATAAACAATATTAATTTTGCCAAAGTGTAAAGAAAAATGTACTGGAAACGAGATAATTTTGCATTTAACCAGGGAAAAAGTTTTTTTGTTATTAAATGTCAAAGTACATGCCACATACATGCCTGCAGTTGTGCTAAAAATACCACCGGGCAGAAATTTCGGAACAGTGGTTGTGGGAGCAACACCAACGGCATTTGACTTGGCGAGTTTTGTAATCTTAGTATTTTGGAAACAGCATTCCTGGTGGATCTGCTCTTGTAGTCGCATAGTATATAGAAATCGTCCCTGTTTTCTGCAACTGTATTACAGGTACCTGATCAGTCCGCGCTTGCTACCCAATCAGGTCTTCGTCCCGGCCATGAAAAACGCCACGGCCAAGGTGGGCGAGTGGACGGAATTCCGATGTGCAGTCACCTTCAACACCATGTCGTCCGAGCGCCAGGCTTTTACAGCCCGGTTTATGTGGCGAAACGAGCAAGGCCTCATCTTCGCTCCGGGGATTGCGACAGTTGAGCACGATGTAAGCATACGATCGGAAGTCAATATGACCGTCAGCGTGAATGCAGACAACTGCTTGTGCCACTCGACGCTGCGCGTCGAATCAGTTCGAAGCCAAGACGCTGGGCGCTATCAGTGCTGGTTCATGATCGATGACATTTTTGACGAATGGATTGTACAGTCTGCATATCTCCATGTCGTATAGAAACAGTAGCGGTACCGGCATCATGCACACTATCTCCCTTTCTGGCTGGTGAATCCTTTTTTTGAGTTAAGACTTTTTCTTTTGCTGATATTTGCGAGAATTTGCAGCCGCTGTCTGTAGCAAGCGCCCTGTTGGCCATGCAGGCCCATGCTCAGGCTGTTTAGGCTGACGAATAAAGATAATCCCGGGTCTTCCCTTTCTGTCCTCAATATGGCCATGTTCGGTGTCCCGCGAGTTTAACGACACAACATTCTGCGGGTGAATTTTCTGTCTCGTAAACCCATGTGGACACATTACAGTTTTGCAAAAGGGTAGTGGCTTTATCCAGCTCAAATCCAGTTTGTTTTCCAATTGCTATCCGAGATCCAGTCCAATCTGCGAATTGCCGATTTGGATGTTGTCACAGAAAAAATTTTCATTCATTATTCTGCGAGACACATCCAAACGGTATTTCGCAATATTCGAGTAAATGTTTTGTTGTGAAGCAAACGGTAGAATCTATCTGAGAGGGAAGAGAAGATATTAGGCCTGATAATCCGAAGACTCGGTGAGATCAGGCGAGAATAGGTTTATACAGCAGCCGGCAATGGAAATTTTCACCGACAAGTTCTCTGATGTATGTAGGTAGTATTCCAACGTCAAGCATTTTCGGCGGCAATCGTCATGGATTTAGATAGTGCCCAATACCGCTTGTTGTTGTTGAAATTGTGCATGAGATCGTCCAAACCCGTGACAAATAAAGTATATTGCCTAAAAAAACACAACGGGCGACGCTTGCGGAAACTCTTGATGCTACATGTACAGATGATTAATAGATTAGTCATGACACATGATGAGCGATTATACTGTAGGAAGAACAATTTTCTGTGAAATACCGGCTTTGCACTTTCAGTGCTGCTGAAACTTCCAACCCATTGAAAACAATATCTTTCCAGCGGTCCCAAAATATACAATATCAACCCAACCTGATCAGCGCTAATGCAAAGCCTACAAAATCGATTAAATACCGTTGTCGCCTTGGGTGCAGCGCGGCTGTAGTATCTGTAACTTGTAAGCGAAGTCAACCACCCTGCATCCGGACTGAGGGAAGAGGAAATATGCGTGCTCGCTGTGTTTTCGGCATCGCACACTATAAGCATATACGGATGTTATATATTCACCACGAACACGACTTACTTCTTTCGAAACGCAAAAGTCTAGCGGCAGAAAAGGCAATAAGACGGCGATAGGCGTGATAAAGCGAACTTGCAACAATAAAACAACCTTAGCTCTTTAACCAACACTTTTTCCGACAGTTCAGCAGAAATCCCAGTGTTTCGTTTTCGGCGTCCCGCATTCCGGCAGCATTTGTCATCGATTTAGCTGAAATTATTAACGCTTGCTAATTGCAGCCATTTGCAGGTAATAATTTCGTGTAAATCAATGACAAGCAATGAAAGTCGCCAAAACTGGCTCAACTGACGATAGGTACCAAGTCATGGGATAATAGAAAGGTCCCGAAGAATGATCGAAAAAACAATTTTCTGTCGAAAGCTGGTCTCATAAGACATAACTATTTCACTATTTGTATAACCGCCAAAACTACCATAAACTTCATTTTACTTCCAGTATAGTATATCCCTTTATAAACATCACGAAATAAACGGTGGCGCTACTGTTGATTCTTTTAAAGCTGACTCTAGATCACAGTAAGAATAGCGCATGATAATTACCGAAGTGCTTGAAGGGCTTGGCAAAATAAGTACAAGGTAGTC